TGGGGTGACAGCCCCCCTGTTCGGAACCTCCGAGGGAGCCCCCTGCCTCAGGTGTCTCTAATTTTCTTTTCTAGTCATTTCCTTCCAGCAGGGGGCTGGTTCACGAGCCCCCCATATTTCTGCTAAGAACAAAGGAAAACCAGGAACTCTGAGCATGGCGTGTTTGTCCTCCATCCCCCTGCCACGACTCGCACCCCAACCCCGGGGTACACCCTCCGGCTGCCCCAAGCAGGAGGTTAAGAGTGTGTGTGAGGGCATTTCGGGGGGTGCCAGCCACGGTGCCCAGGGGACGCCTCCCTGGGTCACCTGTCCAGGCCTCCGTCTGCTGGCGCTTTGCCGGGAACTGCAGTATCTCTCAGCGGCCTGGGGACCTCCGCCAGCTTCTTTCTCTCTGTCCTCTGGGACTCAGGACTCGGGGACAAAGGCCTGGTGGAGGCCTCCCGGACGCCCAAACACCCTGTCTGGCTTTCTGGAGCTGCGGGTGCCCAGGGGGACCCACCCGTCAGATCTGGGAAGGGCCACCGAAATAGACTGACCGACCCCCACCGAACCTCTCGGACTCTCTCCCCTCCCCCAGTTCCGCCAGGCCGGGAGAGGAGGAGGTGGGGACAGGCCAGGGCCTGCGTGTTGAAAGACCCCGGGTTCCCGCTGCAAGGCAGCCGGAAGACAGGTCTGGCCCCTCAGATCCTCCACCCCGCAGAGCGCCCCGACCAGAGGGGCACCTTGGGGCAGCTGGGATGGGCGGGGCGGGGGAGGCTTAGTTTCAACTGCCGGAAAAAAAGTCCCCAGTACAGCAAGGAAGAAGGCACTTGTTTCCACTGCATGTGCCTGACCCGGGTTTGATCCCCGGCACTGCAGAGAATTCTTGAGCCCCACCAGGAGGGACCCCTGAGCGCAGAGGCAGGAGAGAAGCCTCAGAGCCACTAGACATCACCCCCCAAAAACCAAGCCGACTCAAGACAAAACCCAGTGTACCCCTTTCGGTCTCTCTTCTTCCTGCCTCAGCCCTCGGACCTCCTTGCTGTTATTCCCACACAACAGATCCCATCCTGCCCCAGGACCTTGGCACTGCAAATCGCCAGGCCGACACCTGCACCAGAGAGCCCGCAGCTAATTCCACAACACTGCCTCTTCTTTTCCACGTTGCAGCTCAGATGTTAGCTCCCCAGAAAGTTCCCTTGCTTGCTCCTCCTTCCCCGTTTTCTGAGAGGGCACACTCCATGCTGATATGACCTTCTAAAATCCCCCGCAGTGGGCTGGAGAGATAGCACAGCGGGTAGGGCGTCTGCCTTGCATGCGGCCGACCCGGGTTCGATCCCCAGCATCCCACAGGGTCCCCCGAGCACCGCCAGGAGTGATTCCTGAGTGCAGAACCAGGAGGAACCCCTGAGCATCGCCGGGTGTGACCCAAAAAGGAAAAAAAAATTCGCAGTGGAAATGTCACTCCGAGGGAGAGCACCGTGTCTCATGTGGAGGTCCAGGGCTCGATCCCTGGCACCACATAGAACGGAAACTAAAACCCTGTGAAATACTAGAGACATTTTGTTTTGTTTTGCCTTGCCAGGTAGTGCTCAGGACTGACTCCTAGCTCTTCACTCGGGAATCACTCCTGGCAGAGGCCAAGAGACCAGATGAGGTGCTGGGCTCAAATCCATTGAATCTGGATTTTTGCCACGTGCAAAACAAACCCCTTCACCCCAGGGCGGCCTCTCCAGAGCCTCATTTTCTCCTAAAGCAGAAGAAACAAGAAACGGGCCTGGAGGAGGTATAGGACAATGGGTAGGACATTTGCTTTGAAGTGGCCGACCCAGGTTTGATCCCTGGAATCCCATATGGCCCCCTAAGGCCTGCAAAGAGTGATCCCAGGAGTGTGGAGCCAGGAGTCACCTCTGAGAACTTCTGGGTGTTGGCCCAAATGCCAAAAAGAAAAAAAAAAGGCAACAGGTAAATCAAATAAAGCTGATGCAGCTTTAAAAGACCATTTGTCGGGGCTGGAGCCATAGCACAGCGGGTAGGGCGTTTGCCTTGCACGTCAGCCAACCCGGTTCGATTCCCAGCATCCCATAGGGTCCCCTGAGCACCGCCAGGAGTGATTCCTGAGTGCAGAGCCAGGAGTAACCCCTGGGCAGCGCCGGGTGTGACACAAAAAGCAATAATAATAATAATAATAATAATAATAATAATAAAAGACCATTTGTCTGGGCTGGAGAGATTGCACAGAGGGAAGGGCCTTGCATGCAGGCAACGGACCTGGGTTCAATCCCAAGCACCCCATATGGTCCCCCAAGCGTTGCCAGAATGACCCCTGAGTGCAGAGCCAAGGAGAACCCAGAGCACCCCTAAGAAAAAAAAAGACGATCTGTTCTGTTGCTTTTTCTCTTTTGCAGGACGAAAGGCCTTCAATGGTACAAGTGCTTCAGCCCAGGGGGCATAACTTTCAAGGTGGGCTCCCAGAGCATCTCGCCACCGGGTGGGGAGCCCAGGACTCCCCTGAGAATCACTTTGAACCAAGCTCATCCTTGGCGGCATCATCGGGCGTCCAGTGACTCGCTGGGTCTGCAACGCCAGACCCGACGGGGCTCGCACATCCCAGGCTGTGCCCAGGCATCACAGCCTATGAACACGGGCACGGACAGGCGGATGGACAGAGCGAAAGGGCCCAGAGGACAGAGACGCATGAATCTGGAGCTGGTGTAGACCAGATCTGGGGGCCCACAGTGCCACCTCGTGGCACTCTATCTGCCAAGTCCTGTAGCCTCAGCGGCCAAAAAAGTGGGAATGTTTAGAGTCCTCCCCGCGGGGAGGAGGGCCGAGGGGGAGGAGGGGGAGGAGGGGGGAGGAGGGGGAGGAGAAGGAGAAGGAGGGTGTGGAGGGGAAGGAGGGGAGGGAGAGGGGATGGGAGGGGGCAAGGAGAGGGAGCGCAGGGGGAGGAGGAGGAGGCTGGGGAGGAGGAGGAGAAGGAGCAGGGGGAGGGGCTGGTGGGTGAGTGAACCCAGCGAGGGTGGGGGAGAGGCGGGCAGCTTCTGAGGTTACCCAGTCCTGGTTGTGTCACCCTGGGCGAGTGACAGGACCATCTGGAGGCTGGGTTTGCTCCTCCAGAAAAACGGATGGACGTCAGGGCTCAGGTCAGCGGAAAAGCTCAGGCAACCACGGCTCCTTCTCCGCCTCTCTGTGGTTCAGGGCAGGGTTGGCGGGCAGATGGGGGGCAAGTACTTAATCAAATGGGGTATTGAGGGGCTAGAGCAGTAGTAAAAGCCGGGAGGGCACTTGCCTTGCAAACGGCTGGCCTGGGTTCGATCCCCAGCATCTCAAAGGGTCCCGGAGCACAGCCAGGAGTGATTCCTGAGTGCAGAGCCAGGAGGAAGCCCTGAGCATCCACCTGATTTGAGCCAAAAAATGTTTTTTCATACTCCCCCCAAAATAGGGGTACCCAGGCTGGGGGGGTGCTTTAGCGGTAGGGAGCGTAGTGCTGTGCATGTATCACACCCAGGATTCCAGGCATCTCTCTCTCTCTCTCTCTCTCTCTCTCTCTCTCTCTCTCTCACACACACACACACACACACACACACTACCCTGCTCAATTCACGGAATCTCAGATCAACCACAAAACTTGCTTCAGGGGGGCTGGAGTGATAGCACAGCCGGTAGGGCATTTGCTATCACTCGCAACCGACCCAGGTTCGATCCCCAGCATCCCATAGGGTCCCCTGAGCACCGCCAGGAGTAATTCCTGAGTGCAGAGCCAGGACTAACCCCTGTGCATCTCCGGGTTTGACCCAAAAAGCAAAAAAGAAAAAAAAAACTAAAACAAACAAAATAACCAGCTTCAGGAAAGGGTTGGCCCAGGAGCTGAAAAAAATCTGAAGATTGCTTTCTGTACTGCCCATGGCTATCTGTCTCTGAGTCTGATTTCTGGCCTGTAAAATGCGGTGTGTGTGTGTGTGTGTGTGTGTGTGTGTGTGTAGGGAGAAATGACAAAATGATACCTTATGTTGGACGGGACTATAAGCTTTCCTTATTGATTCATTAATTATTTTTTTAAAAAATATTTATTTATTGCTTTTTGGGTCACATCCGGCATTGCACAGGAATTACTCCTGGCTCATGCACTCAGGAATTACCCCTGACGGTGCTCTGGGGACCATATGGGATGCTGGGATTCAAACCCAGATCGGCCGCATGCAAGGCAGACACCCTACCCCCTATGCTATCACTCCAGCCCCCACATTAATTATTTTTAATTATTATTTTTTTTTGCTTTTTGGGTCACACCTGGCGATGCTCAGGGATTCCTCCTGGCTCTGCACTCAGGAGTTACTCCTGGCGGTGCTCAGGGGACCATATGGGATGCTGGGAATCGAACCCGGGTTGGCTGCATGCAAGGCAAACGCCCTCCCTGCTGTGCTATGGCTCCAGCCCCTCATGAATTATTTTTGGTGTGTTTTGGGGCTACGCCCAGCGATGTCCAGGGGTTCCTCTGGGCTCTGAACTCTGAACAGGGACCACTGTTGGTGCTCGGGAGACCCCGTGGCACGCCACTGTTGGAACCCAGGTGGGTCTGTGCATCAGCATCACCTGCCCTATTTAAGCCTCTCCAGCCCCTTGGGTTTCATGGCATCGCCCAGACATCCTCAGGAGGCTCCAGCCCGCTTGCTCCTAGGTCGGAGGGGGGTTCAGGCTGGGGGCGCGGGCCACCCACCCACCCACCCCACACATTTCACCCCTGCAGAATGTGGGGGCTCCAGACGCCCCAAACTCCTGGCCCTGGGTGCTCAGCCTCCCAGGCCCAAGGTCGCAGGATCCCTGGAGAGCGAGGGGGCGCCCTGGGCCGGGTCACGTGCTGCGCCGGGGGCCGAGCGCGGAGGGCGCGCGCGGACCCTCCCGTGCCAGCCGCACCTGTGGCTCAACGTCCCGCGCGGGAGAAGGGGCGTGGCGTGGGCGTGGCCTGCCGGGCCAGCTCCCTCACCGCATTGGTCCGCCGGCCCGTCACTCCCGGAGACCCCGCCCCCGGGTATAAAAGGCCGCCCACCGCCGCTCCGGACGGTTTGGGAACTGGCCGGGAGAGTGGACCCCGCGCCCGGGGCTTCCGGCTGACCACGGTGAGAAGCAGCAGGGGGGAGTCTCCGACCGAGGTAGGTGACGGGGAGGGTTCCTCCGAGTTCCGGGGTGCCCCCGGCGAGGAAGGGGCAGAGCGGGGGGTCCCCTGGGCTCCGGGGTGGTGGGGGGTCCCTGTCCGCGCGGAATGACCCCTTTGCCTTCCCCCCTTTTCAACTTTTGGGAGAAGCTCGGACTTCCGAGACTGCATCCCTGCGACTTTCGTGCTGGGGAGGGGCAGGGGATTAGAAAGTGGGGCCCCCCGAAGTAGCTTGCGGGGACACCTAAATGCCCCCCGCCCCCAGTCGAACCAGCTCCTGCCTTGACTCTGCAAACGGGCTGGCCAGTCCAGCTGGCCCCCTGCTGCCTGGACCCTCTCCAGGGCGTGACCTTCTTTCCGCCTCCCTTCTGCCAACGCTTTTTTTTTTGGGCGCTGGATGGGGGTGGGGGGGTCCGCCTGGCCCCTAGGGGCTGACCCTGGGGGCGTGTCTCGGGGAGGCCCCGCCCCCTTCCGTGGCCAGTGGGTTGCAGCTGTCCCTTATCTGGGTTCCTGGGACCTTTGTCCGGAAGGTGCAGGACCTCAGTCTCGTTGGCAGAGTTGGGGGGGGGGGTGGACTTCGGAAGTCGGAGCTTAGCAAAACTCCCAGATGAAGAAGAGCCCACCAGGGACATAGGACGGCGGGGTGGGCGCCTGCCTTGCACGGGGCAGACTGGGGGTGCAGTCCCTGGCACACCCCCGAGCGGTGCCTGCAGTGGTCCCTAAGCACAGCCGGGTGTCCCCTCCCAAGGCGCAGTTTTCGAGGGGGGCCGGATGGTACAGTGGGGTGAGATGCTTGCCTGGCACGCAGCCTACCTGGTTTGATGCCAGGCACCCCAGGGGAACCCCGAGCCCCGCCAGGTGGGGTCCAAAATAAGTTTCTGGGGACTGGAGCGATCCTAACAGTGGGTAGGGCACTTTCCTTGCACAAAGCTGACCCCGGCTCGATCAGGGCACCTCAAGCCTCAGCCCAGAGCCAGGAGTCAGCCCTGAGCACAGCTGGGTATGGCCCCCACCTCCAGCCCCCCAAAAAAGGGGGAACAATGTCTTTGGGGCTGGAGAGACAGCTCAGATGTCTCCCCCCAGGATGTCCCCCCCCCCCAGAACGTCCAAAGGGAGACCCAAGCAGCACACAGGAAGTAGCCCCCCAGAGGGAAGCAAACAAAACAGCCGAACAGACCAAATGACGGGTTTGTGGTGGCAGCAAGGGGACAGCCTGAGCCCAGACTGCCCCACCCTTCCCTCCTCTGGAATGAAACGTCCAAAGTCTCAGGGCGTCTTCGAGGTTGGTTCGGTCCAGAGTCTCTGAACCAGAGTCTTCGAGGCCTGTGCCACCTTTTGCCTAGTTTTGCGGGAGAGAGAGATGGAGGCCCTTTGCCCAGAGGGGTGTGGAATCCGGTCGGACCATGGCTCAGCCCAGCTCCGCCAGCCGGAAACGAGCCTGACCCGTGACTCCCCTGACACCCCGGGACACTGTGGGTTCATGTTCACCTGGAGCCTCTCAGCGCCCCACACCTGAGTCTGACTCACAGGGGCCGCCCGGGGAACTGCTTTCTGAGTTGAGCTCGGCTTCAGGACTTGCTTTGGGAACAGGTAACGTTTTTGTTGTTTTTGTTTTTGTTTTCTGGCCACACCTGGGGATGCTTAGGGCTTACTCCTAAATTAGGGCTTAGGGCTTACTCCTAAATGCAGAACCTGCATTTAGGAGTTAACTCCTTTGGGGCTGTAGAGATAGTCCAGCGGAAGGGCACTGGCCTTGCACGCAGCTGACCCAGCACCCCATAAGGTCTCCCGAGCACTGACAGGAGTAATTTGTGTGTGCAGAGCCTGGAATAAGCCCTGAGCACCAATGGTTGTAGATCAAAAAACTGAGACAAAACCAAAAAAAAATTTATTGGGCTGGAGCGATAGCACAGTGAGTAGGGCGTTCGCCTTGCACATGGCCAACCCGGGTTCGATTCCCAGCATCCCATATGGTCCCCTGAGCACCGCCAGGTATAATTCCTGAGTGCAGAGCCAGGAGTAACCCTGTACATCACCGGGTATGACCCAAAAAGAAAAAAAAAATTATCCTGGTGGTTCCAGGGGGGCCAGATGGGATGCCAGGGATCAAACCTGGATCCATGAGCTTGCGAGGCCTGCCTTGTACCCAGTGGAGTAGTCCTCAGGTAACATTATTTCTCTGCCTGAAATGTCTTCATTTCTTCCTGAAAGGTGAAATGAAGCTTCCTGTTTGCGGGACAGCTTCCTGTTTTTCTCGAGTTCTTTTTTTTTGTTTTCTCTCGGAGTGGAGGGATCACTCTGGGCAGCACTCAGGGATCTGGGGACGTATGTGGAGGTGGGAGATCGAACTGGTCGGCTGTATACAAGCATATTTATTACTCAGCTTGTACTTCTAGTCCGTCTCTCTTTTGGGGGGCAGTGCGGGGCTTGAACCGCAGCCAGCAGACCAAAGGGGCTTTTCCTGGCATGCTCTGTGCTCAGGGTTGACTCTTGGTGGGGCTTAGGGGACCATGTGGTGCCAGGAATTAAACCCGGGCCAGCCATATGTAAGGCCAGCACCTGATCCCCCACACAAGCTCTCCAACTCGGATTTCTCTTTATAGATTCCGGCCAAATTCAAACAATTCCTTATTCCTTTTTTTTTTCCCTTTTATTTTTTTTGGGGGGGGGGGGACGTGCCACACCCAGCAGTGCTCAGGACTTACTCTGGGTGGGGTGAGGGAGACCCTTTGGGGGGCCTGGGATGGAACCCAGGTGGGTAGCATGCATGCCAGCTGTGCTTTCTCTCAAGCCGGCCTTTGGCCTCTAAAAACCACCTGTCCCCTTGTCCATTCCATGTAAATTTCCTTTATTCTTATTTCGCTCTTGTTTCTGGTTTTGGCTTTTGGGCTACACCTGGGCTGTGCTCTGGGGGTGGGAGCCGGGAGGGTGCTTGCGTTGCAGGCTGCTGACCCGGGCACCGAACCCGGGCATCCCACAGAGTCCCCCACGTGTGACCAAGAGGGATCCCTGAGTGCAGAGCCAGGAGCCAGCCCTGCACACCGCCAGGTGTGACCCAAGTCCCCTTCAAGAAACAAAACAAGACAGCCAAACGCCTGGACTGCACTCAGGGCTGACTCCTGGCTCAGTGCTCAGGGAGATCTGTACCGCCTCTCCAGCCTCAGTTGTTTTCCGCTACTCTCGGTTTGGGGGCTTCGCCCAATTCTACTCGGGCTCTGAGCTGGGTGGTGCTCCCTGGGGTGCGTGTGGGGCCTCGGATCCTCTCTCCAGGCCTGCCTTGGCCTTCCCCCTGCTTCCTGGTCTGTGACTCAGTTTTGCTTCAGCACCCCCCGGCTTCCTGCCTGCCCCCCACCCGTCCCTGCAAGAGGCTTCTGCGACTCTCTGTTGTGTTTTGTGGGGGCCGCCCCCAGTGGTGCTCAGGACTCACAGGGATCACACTCGCTCCCGGTAGTGCCCGGGAGACCCTGTGGGCGCTGGGGGTGGACCCCGGCTCAGCGGCTTGCAGGCGAGCGCCCTCCCTGCTGTCGTGTGGCTCGGGTCCCGGAAGGCGCCTTCTGGTCTAAGAGGCCAGGGCGCCTCCTCAGCCCTTCCGGGCCATTCGTGGGCAGCTTGCTTGGCTGAGGTTTGGCCTCCTGAGCGATGCACCTGACCGATGACCTGGACGCTGAGGGTGCCCCACCCCCATTGGAGGCCCCCACCCCCTTCCCTCGCCCCGCCCCCACTCCCCGCCACACACACTCCCCGAACTAGACTGAACCACCGTGCTTTCCTGCAGGGGACCCCCTCTGTGTTGGGTGGGAGGTGACTGATGGCAGGCTGGCATCTAAGGAGTGGGGGTCCCAGGGCAGATGTGAACGGAGGAGTAGGGACAGAGCCGGGCTAGAGGGGCAGGCCTGCGGGGAGGGGGGGGGTCCGGTCTGGGCACTGCCTTGTGAGTGGGGTGGAGCCATGGGCAGGGCCGGGGGGCGGGGCGGGGCCGGGCCATGGGCAGGCTTGGAGGGCAGGGCTGGGGCAGAGCCTGGGTTTTTTCGGTTCAAGGACCAGGCAGTAGCGGGGTGGGGCGTGGCCTGCTGGTAGGGGCGGGGCCTGTTGGCTCAGGAGACCAGAGAGTAGCCGGGGTGGGGCGTGGCCTGCCTGGTAGGGGCGGGGCTGGTTGTTGGCTCAGGAGACCAGAGAGTAGCCGGGGTGGGGCGTGGCCTGCCTGGTAGGGGCGGGGCCTGTTTGTTGGCTCAGGAGACCAGAGAGTAACCGATTGGGGCGTGGCCTGCTGGTAGGGGCGGGGCCTGTTTGTTGGCTCAGGAGACCAGGCAGTAGCCGGGGTGGGGCGTGGCCTGCCTGGTAGGGGCGGGGCTGGTTGTGATGGGTCAGGAGACCAGAGAGTAGCTGGGGTGGGGCGTGGCCTGCCTGGTAGGGGCGGGGCCTGTTTGTGTTGGCTCAGGAGACCAGAGAGTAGCCGGGGTGGGGCGTGGCCTGCCTGGTAGGGGTGGGGCCTGTTTGTTGGCTCAGGAGACCAGGCAGTAGCCGGAGTTGGGCGTGGCCTGCCTGGTGGGGGCGGGGCCTGTTGGCTCAGGAGACCAGGCAGTAGCCGGGGTGGGGTGTGATCGGCTGGTAGGGGCGGGGCCTGTTTGTTGGCTCAGGAGACCAGAGAGTAGCTGGGGTGGGGCGTGGCCTGCCTAGTAGGGGCGGGGCCTGTTTGTTGGCTCAGGAGACCAGAGAGTAGCCGGGTGGGGCGTGGCCTGCTGGTAGGGGCGGGGCCTGTTTGTTGGCTCAGGAGACCAGAGAGTAGCCGGGGTGGGGCGTGGCCTGCCTGGTGGGGGCGGGGCCTGTTTGTATTGGCTCAGGAGATCAGAGAGTAGCCGGGTGGGGCGTGGCCTGCTGGTAGGGGCGGGGCCTGTTTGTGTTGGCTCAGGAGACCAGAGAGTAGCGGGGTGGGGCGTGGCCTGCCTGGTAGGGGCGGGGCTGGTTGTGGTGGGTCAGAGGTGTGGCCTGGCGGGGTGGGCGGGGCGAGGCTCGTAGGGGCGGGGCCTGGCAGCTATGGGCGGGGCCTGGCAGGGGCGGGGCCTGGACAGACCTGGTCCCGCTGGACCATCCTTGCTCCTTTCCTCTTCCCGCAGCGACTCTTCTGAGAAATGTCCACCAGCGAGATGGAGGCCACTGCTAGCCTGCCTGTGGGGACCGAGGGATCTACGCAGCAGGTCAGGAAGGTCACGAAAGCACAGTGAACGGGCCAGGGACGAACCACCGAAGAGACTACGGGGGTCCCCAGCCAGCATGGGGTTGTGGGAAGTGGGGTTCCCCCTACCCATGGTCACAACATGTCTGAAACCCCCTGCCCCCCCCATATTAGTCTGATTATTCCCTGAGGCAGCTCGTTCTCAGCAATCAGCCCCTTCCCAGAACCTCCCTGTTTTTTTTCACTGTGGGCCGATGGGTGAGTCACCTCGCGTTGGTGTTGCTTGGGGGTTCTGCGTTCCGTGGGTGCGTGGCCCAGGAGCTGGGGGTGTGGCAGGCAGAGCCAGGCCTGCACCTTCAGCCTGCCTGCAGAGCCCGCGACCCGCCTTCCGGGCTGTCGCCTGCACCCTGAGCAGGCTTTGGTTTGAAGGCCACACCTGGCTCTGTGCCTAGCGTGGGGTTCTCGCTGTGGGCTTCAGGGGACCACACGCAAGGCCAGTGCCTGACCCCTGGGACTGTTTCCCTGGCCCCTGCGTGCAGCTTTGAGGCTCAGCTACGTGGAAGTGTGGGTTCGAAAGCGGCGATTTCCACCGTTATTTTTTCTTTCTGTTTGCGTGTTTTGGTTTGGTCTGGTCAATGCCAGGGGCTGATTCTTGGTTCTGTGCTCAGGAATCACTGCAGGTGGGGCTCGCTCGGGACAGGGTGGGGTCCCCTCGTGCAGGCCCAGCTCCCTGCGCTGTCCCGTCTCTCTGGCTCCCGTTTGGCTTCACACTTTTTCAGTGTGGCGATTCAAACCGACACTCAGGACCTTCTGCGTTCAAGGTCAAGTGAGCGCCTTTCACTGGGGTGGCTCCCGGCTGGAACCCTCTCGGTAGCCCCTGGCTCTGACTCAAGATATCTCCGTCCTTCCATATGGAAACCCCAGACCTGTTGAGTGGCTTTTTTACACTCAACAACTGTGGATCAACGACTCATCAGTGGAATCACACCGAAACCGTTTTTGCGAGATGGGAGAGGAATGATCAGGGGTTAGCGCTGGCTTGCAGGCGGTTGACTCTGGTTGGATCCCCGGCCTCTGCCGGGAGTGATCCTTGAGCGCACAACCAGGAGGAAGCCCCGGGCACTGCCGCGTGGGACCCCCAAACCCTTACCAGAGAGATCACGCGGGGGTCGCTCCTGCCTTGCACCTGCTGGCCCCCATTTGATCCTGGGCATCACCCAGACACCCTGTGCCTCCAGAGTGCCCCCAGCCCGCACGTGGTGGCACTGGCCGTGGACACGGAGTCCTGACTACCCAGAGCCCCACGTGGCAGGGGAGCAGGGTGAGGGGCTGGCGGCTCAGGTTCTCACGGGCAAGAGTCCAGGCGGGGAAGAGGGGGCCGACGGCGAGGTCCTGTGGGGGGCCAGCTGCCGCCCCCACCCCCCAGGGGCCCTCCTCACCCACCTCCCCCCTGCAGGCCAGCTTCGGGGAGCGCGTGGCCAGCCTCCCCGTCATCAGCACCACCTGCCACATGCTGTCCACCGCCTACAACGCCACCAAGGACAGCCACCCGCACGTCCGGACCTTGTGCGACACGGCCGAGAAGGGCGTGCGGACACTCTCGGAGGCCGCCGTCAGCGGGGCGCAGCCCATCCTCGCCAAGCTGGAGCCCCAGAGTGAGTGGGACCCCCCACATCCCACCCCCTCTGTGCGGGGGGGAGGGGTCCCCTCTAGCCTCGCTTTGTTGTCTGTCTGGGGGCCGCGCCCGGCGGTGGGGGACCCTACGGGGTGCCAAGGATCGATCCCGGGTGGGGGGTGCGTGCCAGCTGCGGTGGGGCTGGGCGTGGGGGGCGGTCGGGGGCGGAGCTCCCGGCAGGACCCTGACTTCAGTTTCCTTGTGTGCCTTCTCCAGTCAATACGGCCAGTGAGTACGCACACCGGGGGCTGGACAAGCTGGAGAACAGCGTGTCGGTTCTGCAGCAGCCGCCAGAGAAGGTGACCGGGTGCGCCCCGACCCCCACGCCGGGGGCTCAGCGCAGGACCCCGCCTCAGTCAGGGTGGCCGCCTCGGCTTCCTCCCGCCGGGTCCACTGTCCCTGTCCTCACTTCCCAGCTCAGGCTGTGCCCGGGATGTTCTGGAGGCAGTCCCAGATGGACTCAGCCTCGCCTCTCTGGCCTCCGTGTTCAGACCTGCTAGGCCGGTGCTGGAGTGAATCCTCAGCCCCCCGGGGGACTGTCATTCTGGGAAACCGGGGTGCAGGGGGGTGGGGCCAGAGGGCAGGAAACTAACGAGTCATCCGACCCCAGGACCTAGGCTACCCCAGGGCCTTGGCACCGTCCTTCCCAGCTCCTGTTCTAATCTCCCCCTCGAGATTCCTTGTTACTGGTACTGTTCACCGGAATGTTCGCTCTTTTCCTTTTCTTTTTGGCCTCAGTGGCCTTGGGTGACCCAGGAACCCCACTAATCTAATTTTTCTATTTTGGTTTGGTTTGGGGGTCACACCCTGCAGTGCTCAGGAATCACTCCTGGCTGTGCTTGTAGGGGCCTTCTGGAGGCCATACCCTCTTCCCCCTTCCCCCTCTCCCCGTCCACTTCCTGTCTCCATGAAGGGTGCTCCTGGGATCATCTCCTGGGGACGGGTCGCCCAGGTCCCATCTGGGGGTGTCTGGGCCGCAGCGTCCAGCCTCTCGGCCCCCAGGCCCTGCCCACGTTGTCACTGGAGTCAGTGTTGGGCTGAAGAATGTTCCATTGTGTCCCCAAGAAAGCCCTCCCTCTCTCCATTCAGCTGCCCTGCCGCACTGGGCGGGGGCGCGGCCCACGGTCCCCACTCTGCGTCCCGCCGGGCTGACGGCCCAGACTTTGGGCCTCGTCCGTCACTCCGGTTCGTGCCCACCAGAGCCTGGTACGGGGCAGAGGGACGGACGTTCCATGCCTCCGTCCCTCTCCCCTGCCCTCGCCCTCTCCGCCAGCCCTGACCCAGTGCCCGCTGGCTTTTCTGCTGGGCTCTCGGGGCCTCTCAAGCATTCCCTGTTGGCGGCAGACTCTCCTCCCTCTCTGCAGATGGGGACTGGGGCGGGGACAGGGCTGGGACTTGAGCCAGGGGTGGAGGAAGGCGAGAAGGATGAGCTCCCAGGAGGATGATGGGGCACCCGGCCCGCTGGGGGGTGGGCGAGAACCAACATTCCTCCTGCTCACAGAAGGGGCGAGCCCAGGCCGATGCTCTGCCTCTCCCAGCTCGTGACTGAGGCCTGCGCTCCCGGCGCTGGGCCCCCTGAGGCCCCCCGCTTCCCCCTCCACCCCCCCTTCCCCCGCCCGACTCCTGTGGGAGGAGGAAGCTCCTAGGTTTGGGTCTGGCCTTTTGCTCAGGGCCCAGCTGGGTTCTCCCAGAGAAAAGATTCATTCTCGGAGGTCTCCGTCCCTAGACGGGCAAGGAAGGGCGGGGAGGGCTGAGCATTTTAACTTTGCAGAGAGGTCTTGCAAAGGCCTTGGGTGTGCCCCTTGTCCAGAAAGATCCCACAGGGGGTAAGGTCAAGTGCTTGCCTTGCCTTACTCGAGGCCGACCCACAGAGCCTTCAAGAGTGAGGCCTCTTGAACACCTCTGGGGGTGACCAAGCCCCCATCCCCCACCAAAAGGAAGACAAGCCTTTTAAAATAAAGTGCAAGGGGGAGGGGCGCCGAGTACAGAGCCAGGAGTAATCCCTGAGCATCGCTGGGTGTGACCTGAAAAGGCGAAAACTAACTAACTAAAGGAAGGACATTAGGTGTTGATGGGTCAGGTCCTGGGGGCTGAAGGGATGGATAGTAGGAGAGTCAAGGTGGCCACCTTGCGCACACCCTGCCTTGTGGCATCGGGGTTTGAAACGGAGTCCTGGACCATGCAGACCCCACGCCCTTCACCCCCGAGCCCTTTCTCTTTTTATTTTTTAATTTTCGGGGTCACACCCGGCGATGCATAGGGGTTCCTCCTGGCTCTGCACTCAGGAGTTACTCCTGGCAGTGCTCAGGGGAGCATATGGGATGCTGGGAATCGAACCCGGGTCAGCGACATGCAAGGCAAACGCCCTATCCGCCCTATCCGCTGTGCTAGTGCTTCAGCCCCTTCTACCCTCCGTTTTCCTTTTTTTTTTTTTCTGTCTTTTCCGGTCACACCCAGTGGTACTCCTGCTGTGCTCAGACATCACTGGGGTGGGCGGGAGGGGGGATGGCATGGGATGCTGAGGATTCCGGGTTGGCGGTGTGCAAGGCAAATGCCCTCCTGGCTGTCCAGTTGCTCCCGCCCCGACACCCCCATTCTTGACCGGGACCCAGGAGGCTGGGGGGCGTTGGGGGGGGGGCGGGGGGCGGGACTCAAGTGCTGATCAGGGGTCCCGCCTCCTCCCAGGTTCTGGCCGACACCCGGGAGCTCGTGTCATCCAAGGTATCGGAGGCCCGAGATGCCGTGTCCAGCGCCAAGGACACGGTGGCCTCCTGCGTGACGGGGGCGGTGGACGCGACCCGGGGCGCCGTGCAGAGCGGCGTGGACAGGACCAAGGGTGCTGTGTCCAGCGGCGTCCAGTCGGTCATGGATTCCCGCGTGGGCCAGCTGGTGCTGAGCGGAGTGGACACGATCCTGTGCAGGTCGGAGGAGTGGGTGGACAACCACCTGCCCATGACGGACGCGGAGCTGGGTGAGTCGCCCCTCACCCCACACACACACCCCTCCACCTCTGGTCCCCTTGCTCCTACAGGCTGCCCTCCCGGCAGCGGCCACCAGAGCGGCCACCAGAGGGTACCAGTGAGCCAGGAGTCAGGCCCCTCCACAGGCCCCCAGCCTGCCCTGCCCTCTGTGACCACCAGGGGCGCCCACGGGACTGGGTGCCCATTCCTTCTATAGATTTTCTTATATTTATTATTTTTAATAATTTTAATTTTAATAATTTTAATAAATAATTTATTTTATTATTAACAAATTATTATTAAATTATTATTAAAATAAAAATTTTAATTTTAATAATTTATAATTATTATAATATAATATAAGTAATAATTTAATAATAATTTTAAGGGCTGGAGCGATAGCACAGCGGTAGGGCGTTCGCCTTACAAGCGGCCAACATGGCCGACCCGAGTTCGATTCCTCCGCCCCTCTCGGAGAGCCCGGCAAGCTACCAAGGGTATTCGATATGCCAGACACAGTAACAACAAAGTCTCCAATGGAGACGTTACTGGGCCCACTGGAGCAAATCGACGATCAACGGGAGGGCCTTTACCTTTTACCTTTATTATTTTTTTAAAATATTATGGTTTTTTTTTTTAGCTTTTTTGGTCACACCCCCCGGAGATGCTCAGGGGCTACTCCTGGCTCCGCGCTCGGGAATTACTCCTGGCGGTGTTTGTGGGACCGTTTGGGATGCTGGGATCAAACCTGGGTCAGCCACCAGGCAGGGCAACTCCCTTCCCGCTGTAATACCGCTCCGGCACCAGACCTTGTAGTTGCCGGCTTCTCCTCACTAGTGGATACTGTCCTTGTGCCTCGGCCATCAGGACCTTTTGTTTTTTTGTTCCTTTGTTCTGGGGCCACACCCGGAAATGCGTAGGATTTACTCCTAGCTCAGCTCTCTGGGACCTCTCCTGATTTTGCTTGGGGGACGATATGGTCTGCTGGCGATTGAACCCAGGTCAGCCATACCCAAGGCAAAAGTTAGGGTTTTTTTAAGGAACCCGCAGTACTAGCTCTGGCCCTGTGCCCTAGGACCTTTGCAAGCAAATGAGCACGTTCCTCTGCCTGCAACATGCTTGGCCAAGACCCCCCAACGGTTGTTCCCTCCTTTCTCCCCTCCAGCTCTGGGCTTCCTGGTGAGGTCTCTGGCCACAGCCAAAACAATGCATCCAGAGGGCTATTTTTGTGGAGGTGACAATGGCCCTCCCCCAAAAAAAACCCACCAGCCAGCCACGCAGGATACCTAGGGGGTCCCCTGTCTGCATGGATGGGGGACGGGAGTTGTTATTTTGCCTTATATGGCTAGCCCAGGAAGAAATGGAAATTATTTTTTTTGCTTTTTGGGTCACACCCAGCGATGCACAGGGGTTCCTCCTGGCTCTGCACTCAGGAGTTACTCCTGGCGGTGCTCAGGGGCCCATATGGGATGCTGGGAATTGAACCCGGGTCAGCGGCGTGCAAGGCAAACGCCCTCCCCGCTGTGCTATTGCTCCAGCCCAAATCTCATTTATTTCTATCTACTTGTTTTTGGGTCACGCTCAGCGGGGCTCACAAGTTCTTACTGGCTCTGCGCTCAGGGTCCACTCCTGATGGTACTCGGGAAGGGGGGGAGCCCAACGGGATGCCAGGGATCGAACCCGGGCAGGTCACGTGCCAGGCAGGTGCCCTCCCCGTGTGCTATCTCTGTGGCCCCTGGTCCCAGACCGCTTGAAAGCAGCTGGTGAGGCTCTGCCAGAGGCTCTGTGATGAGCAGAGGCCAGAGGTGCCCAGATGATGGGGTGGAACCTGGGGTGCCCCGGGAGACAGACCCTCGGCCCCGCCGGGCCGGGCTGTGCCCCCGCTCACGGCGCCCCGTGCCCCGCCCCGCCCCGCAGGCCGCCTGGCCACGTCCCTGGACGGCGTGGACATCGCGTCCCTGCAGCAGCAGCGGCAGGAGCAGAGCTACTTCGTGCGCCTGGGCTCGCTGTCCGAGCGGCTGCGCCAGCGCGCCTACCAGCACTCGCTCTGCAAGCTGCAGCTCAGCCGGCAGAAGGCGCAGGAGGCGCTGTTGCAGCTGGCGCAGGCCCTCAGCCTGGTGAGCGCCCCCGGGACCCCTGGGACCCCGCGGCCTGTCTCCCTTGAGGGACGCCTGGCCGCACCTTGGCTCTCAGAGGCGGGGAGGCCCGGCCTGGAGGGGGCCCGGGGGCGGGGAGCGACAGTCATCGGCCGCCCCTGGGGGTGCCAGGGATCGAACCCGGGTCAGCTGCCTGCCAGGCTGATGCCCTCCCCGCTCGCTCAGCTACAGGGCACCCCCCTGGGTTGCAGGCTCCCGGTAGCCCCTCGCCCTGCTCCCTCCTCACCCTGCCGCTCTCTCCCTCGCTCTCCCTTGGCTCTCTGGCTCCAGATGGAAATGGCCAAGCAGGATGCGGGTCAGAAGCTGGTGGACGGGCAGGAGAAGCAGCTCCCAGGCGCCGACGCTGACGCCGACGCCGCCAGGCCAGAGGTAGGCACCCCAATAACGGGGTGAGGGTTCGTGAGGCCCACTCCCCCCGACCCCACCTTTGCTCCAGGGACTCTGCTGTCTGGGATGTTTGGCCTTCGCTTAGCTCCCGGGAGTAGCCCTCGGATGCTGGGACGCCACCTCCGGGCAGCCTTCCCCGGGGTGCCGCTGTTGGGGACGGGTGTGCCGTCTGCGGCTGGAGCGTTGGCATCTCGGGACGTGTCTCAGGTTCACCTGCCTGGCAGTGACCTGGGCTGTGCCCCTCCTGGCCGTCCTCCCGCTTTGACTTGTGCCAAGCACGGACCCTCCTGTTCCTGATCTGTAAACCTGGATGCGGGACTTAGTGCATATCCTGCCCCCATGTGTTCACCACCATAAGGGGGGCCTGGACACACCGGTGGCATCTATGTGACGTCCCGGGTTTGAGCTGTGGCCCCACTCAAACTAAGTCGTTTATACTCCATATTTGGGGGTTTTTTTTTGATTTTTTGTTTGGGGGTCACACCCGGCGATGCCGGGGGTTACTCCTCACTCTGCGCTTAGGGATTACTCCTGGCAGTGCTCGGGGGACCCTATGCGATGCTGGGAATTGAACCCGGGTCATCCGCCTGAAAGGCAGACGCCCTACCTGCTCCAGCCCCCCATATATATATATATATTTTTAAATTTTGGGGCCACACCCGGCGGTGCTCAGGGCCGACTCCTGGCTCTGTGCTCAGGGATCGCGCCTGGCGGGGCTCGGAGGACCCCATGGGGCGTTGGGACTCGAACCCTGGTCCTCCGTGTGCAAGACCAGCGCCCTCCTCGCTGGCCTGTCCCTGGGGTTCCGGTTTCCTTTGGCACCCGCGTCCCCCCTGACGCCCCCTTCCCTCCCCCCCAGCAGCAGGTGGAGTCGCAGACGCTCACCATGGTCCGCGACGTGGCCGGGCAGCTGCAGGCCACCCTGGGCTCGCTGGGCGCCAGCGTGCAGGGGCTGCCGGCGCACGTGAAGGAGCAGGCGCGGCTGGCCGGCCGCCACGTGGAGCAGCTGCAGGCCACCTTCGCGGGCGTCCAGGCCTTCCGCGAGCTGACGGCCGGCGCGCTGGAGCAGAGCCGCGGGCAGCTGGCCCAGGCGCGCGAGGCCCTGGACCGCGTGGTGGACTACGTGGCCCAGAACGTGCCCGTCACGTGGCTGGTGGGCCCCTTCGCCCCGGGGGTCGTCGAGAGGGTGCCCGAGGCGCGCGAGTAGGCTGCGGGCACCCCCTTCCCGCCGGGCCCACGCTCTTCTCTCCAGGGGGAGCCGGTGGTCCCCAAGACCGGCATACCCCCCCATCCATCCTTAGGGTGAGGGTTCTAGAGGATAAAAGAAATTGCTTCCTAGAGTGTTCTAGATGGTTCTTTTTTTTCCCCTCCGGGAAATCGTTCTTATAGCCCTCTTTAAGGTGGACATTTGGGAGGGATTAGGATTTCTTCCCCCCGCCCAGAATGTTCTAGATGGTTCTTTTTTTCTCTTCCTCCCCCCCTCCCCCCAACTCCTTTTTCAGGGAAATAGTTCTTCCTTATGCCTTACTTTTCTGCGCCAAAGCCCCTGAGGCCACAGGCTTTAGTCACTGGACTTACACTTGAGGGGGGCGTCTGGGGGGCAGGGGTGGGAGTGGGGTGGGCCAGGTTTTGTTTCTGAATAAAACTTCACCCACAGTCCTGCGCGCACGTGTGTGTGTTACACATCCATCTGGTCCCCTGAGCAGCCCCAGCATCTTCAGGGGTCCGGCCTGGTTCCCGCAAGGATGAAAACTGGGCTGGAGAGCAGCTTCAGTGGCCGAGCTCACGCTTTGTGGGCGAGAGGCCCAAGTCTGATCCCGAGCCTGCCAGGAGAGATCCCCGACCACCGATTCGGGAGTAGCAGGATTTATGAACATTTATTTGTTTTTCTCTTTGGGTCACACCTGGTGATGCTCAGAGGTTACTCCTGGCTCTGTACTCAGGAACCACTCCTGGTGATGCTCAGGGCGGGGGGGGGGGGGGGGGGACCCTATGGGATGCTGGGAATCGAACCGGGGTTGGCTGCGTGCAAGGCAAATGCCCTACCCACTGTGCTATCGCTCCAGCCCCTACGAACAACATTTAAATGACAAGAATATGTTTGGTTTGGTTGGGGGGAGCCACACCCAGAGGTGCTTCAGGCTGACTCCTGACTCTCTGCTCAGGAATCTCCACTGAATCATTCAGGGGACACTGAGGGATGCCGGGGGTTGAACCTAGGTCTGAGGCATGCACAGTGGGTGCTCCCCACCCCCCGCGCCCTTCCAGCCCCCACTCCAAGAGGCAGTTTGAAGGCTCCTGCCCCTCTCACCTCTTCGTTCCTCGTTTCCCCGGATGCTCCTAACCCCAGAAGCAGAACCACAATGTCTCTAGTTTCATACCCAACTTTTATTTTTTGTTTTTTGCGTCACACTCAGCAATGCTCAGGGGTTATTCCTGGCTCATGCACTCAGGAACCACTCGTGGCAGTGCTCAGGGGACCATATGGGATGCCGGGATCGCACCCAGGTTGGCTGCATGCAAGGCAAACGCCCTACCTGCTGTGCTATCACTCCGGTGCCTCAATGTTTTTTTTCCCCTTTTTATGGGGGGGGGCATGATTTTTTTTGTGAATTTGGGGCCACACCCAGTGGTACTCAGAGCTGACTCCTGGCTCTGTGCTCAGGAGTCACTCCTGGTGCGGATTGGGGGAGCCTGTGGGATGCCGAGGATCAAACCTGGATCGAGCACATGCAAGGCCAGCGCCTCCCAGCTCATTTTTTTGTTGTTGTTGCTTTTTGGGTCACACCCGGCGATGCACAGGGGTTACTCCTGGCTCTGCACTCAGGAATCACTCCTAACGGTGCTCAGGGGACCATCTGGGATGCTGGGAATCGAACCCGGGTCGGCCATGTGCAAGGCAAACACCCTACCTGCTGTGCTATCGCTCCAGCCTTCAGTTCATTTTTTTAAATGTATTTTTTTCCGGGTGTGTGTGTTATGTGTGTGGCGCGGCTGTGGTGCAACTGTGGGCTCATCCTGAGCTCTGTTGGGGGGACCTTCCGGTGCCCGGGATGGAACAGCCAGCCAGCAGATCTCCCGCTCTCTGAGTCCTTCCGACTCTGCACCCAGGAATTCCTCCTGGTGGTGCTTGGGGGACGATATGGGATGCCGGGGATTGAACTTGGATCGGCTGCAGGCAAGGCGAACACCTTTCCCGCTGTACGATCGCTCTGGCCCCCGTGGCTGTTCTACTTGAATAGCAGACTGGGTGCCTCTGAACACCCCCTCACACAAATTAGGGAAGCACACACGGGGGCCGAAGAACAGGGACAGCCGGGAGGGCATTGACATGGCACTTGGCTGCCCTGGGTTCAATCCCCAGCATCCCTTAGGGTTCCTCCCACCTGGAGTGGTCCCTGAGCACAGAGCTGGGAGCCTGCCCTGAGCACTGCCAGTGTGTCTCAAAGAAAAACAATCTTTGAGTGGTGGCCCCAGGGGTGGGGGGATTGAGCCCCCCTCTTCCGCTAGGGAGGTTAGGGGAGACACAATTAGAGATTTGGAGAACAATGCCCCAAGATTCAGTCAGAGCGAGACTGACCTATCCCACCTCTGAGAAACGCTGCCACTTCCTCTTTCCAGCTCTGCCCAGTCTTCCTGTATCCCCGCCTCCCCCCCACGTGGGGGAGGTGCATCAGCACTTTATGGGCCAGGGAGGGAAACTGAGGCACGGTTCAGTACACTCCCTCCCCACTCCCACCTGCCACCCTCGCAGCAACGATGGAGTGTGTCCTGTGTCCATTGCACCTGCCTAGGAAGACACGAGGCTCAGACCGGAGCCATGGCACCGTGGGGAGGGCTCTGGCCCTGCATTCCCCAGACCCGGGTTCGACCCCCGGCACCTGCTAGGAGTGATCCCTGAGCCCCGCTGGGTGGTGGGCCCAGAACAGTAATAATGATGAGACTTGTCGGGGCTGGAGCTATAGCACAGCGGATAAGGCATTTGCCTTGCCCGCGACTGACCCAGGTTCGATTCCCAGCATCCCATATGGTCCCCCGAGCACCGCCAGGAGCAATTCCTGAGTGCAGAGGCAGGAGTAACCCATGAGCATCGCTGGGTGTGACCCAAAAAGCAACAATAATAATGATAATGAGGCTTGTTTCCGGGGGGCTATTGGAGCAAGCAGCATGGGGGAGGGGACGTAAGGAATCATACCTGCCTGGGTTGTCCAGTGGGGCAGACGTTTGCCTCGCACATTGCTGACTGGGGTTCAGTCCGCAGCACCCTCTGTGGTTGGTATCCGCTCGTCCAACGGCACCACCGGAAGTGACGCCTGAGCAGGTAGGAGAAAGCACTGAGCATAGCCGGGTGTATGGGCCGGAATCCAACAACAGAATCTGAGAGTTGGCCGGGGTGGGGCACGCATGACCGTACTTGGAGTTTGCTCCTGGCAGTGCTCCGAGAGTTCGATGGGGGTGGGGAGTAAACCCGGGACTCCAGCAAAGTCCAGATCACAGCAGGGAGGATGCTGATCTTGCACTCTGCGTACCCAGGTTCCATCCCTGGCACCCAGAGGGCCCCCTGAGCACCACCAGGAGTGATCCTTGAGCTTTCTGGGTGCAAAAAAAAAAACATCAAAATCTGTTCCAGTCCTTTGAGTCGCTTCCCAGAACATTTTTTTGGGTGGTGGTTGGTTTTAGTCTGGGGGCCCCTGTAGTACTTCAGGGCTTCCTCCTGGCTCTGCACTCAGGGATCGCTCCTGGCGGGGCTCCAGGGACCCTCTGGGATGCCGGGGATCAGACCCGGGTCTGCTGCCTAGGAGGCGAACATCTTCCCCACTAAGTTAAGGGATCTGATTGTTTCCAAGCTGATGAATGAAAATCTGTGTCCGCTTCTAATAGAAAACCCAGAGATGTTCAAATCCGCTGCGGGGTGTGGGGGGCTGACCACGTGTGCCTGAGAGGGTCAGGCGTGAGTGCATGCACGCTCCTTTGAAAGGAAGACCCCTGCCCGCCAATCTTGATCCTCGGGCACGGTTCCGTTTCAAAGCTTCTCTTCAGGGGCCGGAGAGATGTTGTAGCGAGAGGATGTCTGACCTGGCTCGACACTTTGGAGCCCTGGCAGAGGTGATCCACGAGCACAGAGCCAGGAGGAAGTCAGAGCACCGGCAGGTGTGGCCCAAAGAAAATGAAAATGTATCCTTTTTTTTGCTTTTTGGGTCACACTCTGCGATGCACAGGGGTTACTCCTGGCTCTGCACTCAGGAGTTACTCCTGGCGGTGCTCAGGGGACCATATGGGATGCTGGGAATCGAACCCGGGTCGGTCGCGTGCAAGGCAAACGCCCTCCCCGCTGTGCTATTGCTCCAGCCCCAAAAACGTGTCCTTATCAATCCTGCCAAGCGGTGGTCGGATCCCAGGATCTCACGCTTATGACACATGAGCTCTAAAAGATAAAAAGAAAGTGATTGTCTCACAGGCTGGGAGAAAAACTTCCCGTGTCTGGGGCTGGAGCCAGAGCGTAGCGGGGAGGGCCTTTGCCTTGTATGCGGTCTACCTGGGTTCAATCCTCAGCCTCCCAGGAGTAATCCCTGAGTGCAGAGACAGGAGTGGTACAAAAAGAGAAAAAAGAAAAACCGTGGGAACTGGCGGGGTAGCACAGCGGGTAGGGCGTCTGCCTTGCACTCGGCTGACCGGTGTTCGATTCCCAGCATCCCAAATGGTCCCCCGAGCACTGCTAGGAGTAATTCCTGAGTGCATGAGCCAGGAGCAACCCCTGTGCATCGCTGGGTGTGACTCAAAAATCAAAAACAAAACAAAACAACCCCCCCAAAAAAAACCTGTGGAATATACATCTCAGGAAACAGACATTTATTTAATTTATGTTTTCAGTTGAATCACCGAGAGATACACAGTTGCAAAGCTGTTGGGAGATTGGGTTTCAGTTATACAATGTTCCCACACCTGTTGCTTCACCAGGGTGCATTTCCCACCAGCAAAACCCTCAGTTTCCTTCCCGCCAACCAGCCCCCAGGCTGTCTCTCTCCCCATCACTCCCCCCACACTCCCCTTGCTTTGCAGATACTGAAGGGTTACCAGCGTATGCCTTACCTCCTTGCATGCCCAGTTCTTGTCCAGAGCGATGCTTTCCAAGGCTCCTTGTCACCCTGGCCCCTTCTCTGGAAATTGACCATTGAACAACCTCTGGATTTCTTCTGTTTGGGGTCCACACCTGGCGGTGCTCAGGGCTCAGACTACACTCAGGGACCACTCCTGGCAGGGCTTGGGAGACCATCTGGGGATCCATATGCAAAATCATCTCCCCAGCTCCCATCCACTATTTAAAACATGTATTTTCATAAATGGGTTTCAACATAATGGACTTCCTTGTAATCTCTATTTGGTTTCATGCAGCTAAAAAAAGTTGTTTTACTTTTTGGGTCACACTGAGCGATGCTCAGAGGTTCCTCCTGGCTTTGCTTTCAGGAATCATTCCTGGTAGTGTTCAGGGGACCCTCTAGGATGCCAGGGATTGAAACAAACATCCTATCTGCTGTAGGATTGCTCTGATCCTATTTTAGTTCTTTTTTTTTTTCTTTTTGGGTCACACCCAGCGATGCACAGGGGTTACTCCTGGTTCATGCACTCAGGAATTACTCCTGACCGTGCTTGGGGACCATATGGGATGCTGGGAATCGAACCTGGGTCGGCCGCTTGCAAGGCAAACGCCCTACCTGCTGTGCTATCACTCCAGCCCCCTATTTTAGTTCTTTTTGAGAAAAGTCTTCTACTTTCTCTGGACAAAGGTATTTGGAATGTTCTCTCCAAAGTAACAAAATGATTGTCTCGGGGGCTGGAGATAGCACAGAGGGGAGGGCGATTGCCTTGCTTAGGGACGACCCAGGTTCGATTCCCAGCATCCCACATGGTCTCCTGAGCACCGCCAGGAGTAATTCTTGAGTGCAGAGCCAGGAGGAACCCCTGAGCATCTGAGCATCGCCGGGTGTGACCCAAAAAGCAAAACAAAGAAACCCAACAAAATAATTGTCTCATGAGTCTGGAGAAAAACTTAATAGACTTCATTCACTTCTTATCCAGTGTGATCATTTCCAATGATCATTGTCATAGTAGTCCCTCAGTGAAAATTTTATACATACATACACACATGTTTGTTCTGGGGGCCACACCTGGCAGAGCTCAGGGATGACTCCTGGGGGTCAGGGGGTACAGGAGTGGGGGGAAGTGAATTTCTGCCTCACATGCTCTATACTTTTAGAAGAATTGTCTTTTCTGGCCCCCAGAATATTTACTTTCACAATCACAATCACAGATCATCCTGTTAATCGTCGATTGCCTCGAGCAGGCCCCAGTAACGTCTCCTTCATCCTAGCCCTGAGATTATATTCAAGGCTCTTTCGGAGAATGAGACCCATCAAACTGGACAAACTGGCAGGCTACCGAATGTAGCCTGCCCACACGGCAGAGTCTGGCAAACTCCCCGTGGCGTACCCAATATGCCAAATACCAGTAACAACGATGGGTCTCAATACTTACTTTATGACCGAAAAAATACCCACGATCCAGGCTGGATTAAAAGGGGCCAGCGAAACATTATTATTATTATCATTATTATTATTTGCTTTTTGGGTCACACCCAGCAATGCTCAGGGGTTACTCCTGGCTCATGCACACAGGAATTACTCCTGGCGGTGCTTGGAAGACCATATGGGAAGCTGGGAATCAAACCCGGGTCGGTCCGGTGCAAGGCAAACGCCCTACCCGCTGTGCTAGTGCTCCAATTCGGGGCCAGAGAACTAATGCCCTGGGGAGGGTGCTTGTCCAGCATGTGGCAGAACATGGGTTGATCCCCGGCACCTCAGGAGGGACCCCACTCAACATAGGGTCCCCGAAGCCTCACCAGGAGTGATCCCTAAGCCCAGAGCCCAGAGAAGCCTTGAGCACCATTGGTGTAGCTCCCAAACCAACCGAAGAGGTAAACAGACTGAATCAATGACACTTTCCTTGAGTTGGGAGGAGAGCGCTGGCCGAGCAGCGCAGGGGACCCACCCCAGTATCTGCTGGTGCAAGGCACATACGGGCTCCTTAGTTTTCGCTCTGTTTTGTTTTTGTTTGTTTTTGGACCCCACCTGGTGTTGCCCAGGGCTGACTCCTGGCTCTGTGCTCAGTGATCGCTGCAGGGGCCCTCTGGGGTGGGTGCTGGAGCTTGAACCTGGGTTGTCTGCTTGCAAGGTTGTCTACCTTGCCCGCTGGACTGCTGGACTATCTTTTCAGAACCCGTATTTTTAACATTTTCTTTTTGGGTCACACCCAGCGATGCTCAGGGGTTACTCCTGGCTCTGCACTCTGGAGTTACTCCTGGCGGTGCTCCGGGGACCCTATGGGATGCAGAGGATTGAACTCGCGTTGGCCGCATGCAAGGCAAACGCCCTACCCGCTGTACTACTGCTCCGGACCCAGACCCCGTATTTAAAAGAATTATATTTAATGTGTGGGTCTGGGGGCCACACCCGGTGGTGCTCCGGGCTGAATTCCTGACTCTGTGCTCGGGAGCTGGGAGCTCGGAACCCTTGCGCCCACCCTTCTCACCACCTCGGTGGGGGGGACCTCAGCCTCTCCAAGGACGCCGGACTTCCCTTTCAAATTCGGGGAGACAGAGCCTGCTGTTTTTCCTGGAAGGTCTCGTTGACGCAGACTCTCACTGACTGTCCTTCCAGATTGTGCTCCCTCCCAACCCCCAATCCAGGACTCTGGGTGTGGGGGGTCCGTTTGGGGGCACCCGCGCTCGCGCTCGTATCCAGCCCGCCACCGCCACCGAGGGCGCACGCGCGCCTGGCCAAGGCTTGGTGAACTTGGGGTGTGTCTGGGGCGTCTAAGGGACTTTCCCGGACCTCCGGGCTGGTGACCTCACCTCTCTCCTCCCTCCTCCTCCTTCCTCTCCCTCCTCCCGAGGCCGCACGCGGAAGGAAGCTCCGCGCGAGCGGTCCAGGCCCCCGTGCGCGCCCCGCGCTTTGGAGCCCCGTGGACGAGCGGCCGCCGGTCCTGGAGTCCGGGTAGGAGCGCGGGGCAGCCGGGGGTGGGGGGCCGGGAGAAGCGGTTTCCCCCCGCCCCCGCAGATACCTGGGCGCTCGCGCCTCCTTGCAACCCCCAGCTGGTGGCCAAGCGCGCTCTCCCGCCCCCCACCCCGACTCCGGGGACTGATGCGTCCTGGCGCCCCCGTTCCGTCATGCCCACCCCCCTGAACGTCCGACTCACAATCCCCCCAGCTCCCTCAGCGCCCCGCTTTCCCGGCACGCCGGACCCCGCCCGGAGACCCCAAGGTCTCCCCGCTTCCTCGGCTTCCCCACCAGCCCCTGGAATAGCTTCCCACGCCCACGCTTTGCTGTTTCCCTGATTTTCCCTGATTTTTTTCGGGACACACTCAGCGGTGCTCGGGGCTGACTCCAGGCTCTGCGCTCAGGGACCCTCCTGGCGGCGCCCCGGAGACCCTAGGGGTTGCGGGGACGGAACCCGGGTCTGCCACGCGCCAGGGAAGCCCGCGCCGTCCGCGCTGTGCTGTTGCCCCCCCCATTTCCCCCCACATGCGTCTGCAATTCCCTGCGCCCCCATTCTTCCCCATAGTTTCTGATTTCTCCCCAAACTTTCCTTTTCTTTCAGCCCTTAGAGCCCCGCCCCCAGCCCCATGCGGCACCCACATTTCTTCCTGCTTCCTGTGGCTAGGGGTCCTCCCAGGACAACTGGAGGTTTGGGGAGACATGCCCCCCTACTACCCGGCACTTTCTCCAACCTGCCTCCGGCCTCTGTGCTCTTTTGGGGGGCTATTTTTCCTTTGGCGGTGCTCAGGACTCCTGGCTTTTTTTGTTTTGGAAAATCCCTGGCATCACTGTCAGCCTAAGACCTTACGGCTTCTTGGTCTTTCTTTTCTTTTCTTTTTTCTTTTTTTTTCTTTTTGGGTCATGCCCAGGGATGCTTAGGAGTTCCTCCTGGCTCTGCACTCAAGAATTACTCCTGGCGGTGCTTGGGGAACCCTATGGGATACTGGGAATTGAACCCGGATAGGCTGTGTGCAAGGCAGATGCCCTCCCGGCTGTACTACTGCTCCGGCCCCTGACTCCTGGCTTTGTGCTCAGGGATCTCCCCACCCCTACCACCACAGCAGGGCTTGGGGATGCCTCTCGGGTGCCGGGGATCAAACCTGGGTCTCCCGAGGGCGAGGCACACCCTCCCTGCTTTCCTATGTGTCTGCCGGTCTGTCCTCTTCTGAATAAGAGACATTTGCTGGGCTGGAGCGGTAGCACAGCGGGGAGGGCGTTTGCCTTGCATGCGGCAGACCCGGGTTCAATCCCCAGCATCCCATAGGGTCCCCTGAGCACCGCCAGGGGTAACTCCTGAGTGCAGAGCCAGGAGGAACCCCTGTGCATCGCCGGGTGTGACCTGAAAAGAAAAAAAGAGACGTGCTCGTTCCGTTCACTCTTTCTCTTCCTGTGGTGTTTGGAGGTACCCAAATGGTGGGACCTGGGCTTGCCGTGGTAGCCCCCCGACCCCCAGCCCCCTCCCCCCACCACCGAGGAGTTCTGGGAATCCTGCAGTGTCGTAGGTGCTTTGAGAAGCACCAGGATTCCGTGGGGTCCCAGGCCTGGTCCCTGACTTTCTGCTGTGTCTCAGGGCAAGTGGCCCTCCCTCTCTGTGCCTTGTTTAAATAGGCAGGTAGGGGCCGAATAGTTGGAGAGCATTTGCCTTGCGCCCAGCCCACCCGAGTTCAAATCCTGCCATCCGGCCAGGTCCCAGAAGTGATTCCTGAGTATTGAGCCAGGAGCAACCCCTGAACATCCTTGGTGTGGGCCCAAAAATGGGAAAAAAAAAAATCCTGAATAGGTAGGTAGGTCAGTTAGCCTCCCCAGCGTGCCTGGACAGTTGTCAGTGGTTGACAGGTGGGACGCTATGCCCCAGCCTGGAGTTTTGGGGAACAGCTGTTTGGGGGGACAACTTGCGGGGTCTCCCCTTCTTTATCTCATTTCCTAAGGGGCCAGGAGTCAACTGTGAGTGACAGGAGACCAGGCTGGCCTGTTGGGGAGGAGCGACAAGAGCAGGGGGCATGTATTAGGCACCTTCTGAATACCAGGCCGGTGGCATGTTCCAGGGTAAATCACGCGGGCACTGCCCACGTGTCACCCACCCCAGGGACAGCCCGTCCAGCCTCACTGCCTTGGCTCCTGCACAGCAAACAAGTGAAATCGATTGTGGGAGCAGAGTCGAAGGGGTTCAGGAGGGCGCAGGGCCCACGTGGATGGGACGTGGGTGGACAGCTGGAGCAGGCCAAGGCTGACCTTGAAAAGCAGGTGCCTGACCTCTGGGCCGGGAGCCACAGGACGGGGGCCTGTGAGAGGGGGGCAGTTGCCTCCCACCTGCCCGACCCGGGTTCCATTCCTGGCACCTTATAGGGCCCCCTGAGTGCTGCCAGGAGAATTCCTGACTATGGAGCCAGGAGCATTGCCAGGTGTGACCCCCAAAGCAGACATGAGGGTCTGTGACAGCCGATACACAGCTCTGCTAGAACCTTGGGGCTCTGGGCTGTGCCTCTGACCCGTCGTGGGGTTCCAGCCCGAAGGGAAGAGCTGGGAGCTGAGCCCCACCCCCTGCCCTCCTGCCCCGGAAGAGCTTCCCAAGCACCTTGGACCAGGGGACTGCAGTGGCTGTCGTCGCTGGCCCTGCCCGGCTGGATCCTGGGAGCCCAGAGTGTCCAGGTTTTACACAGAACTGCCTTTTTTGGGGTTTGGCAAGGCTCAGCATCGCAAGGGTGCAAGGGCAGGGCTCGCTTTTGTTCTTGTGGGTTTTGGGGTGTGTGTGTGTGTGTGTGTGTGCGCGCGCGTGCACTCAGGGCTTATTCCTGGTTCTGTGCTTAGGAGCTGGAGCAATAGCACAACGGGTAGGGCGTTTGCCTTGCACACTGCCGACCCGGGTTCGATTCCCAGCATCCCATATGGTCCCCCGAGCACTGCCAGGAGTAATTCCTGAGTGCAGAGCCAGGAGTAACCCTTGTGCATCACCGGGTGTGACTCAAAAAGCAAAAAAAAAAAAAAAAGTCGAGCCTTGTGTGGTTATTATATAGCACTGTAGTACTGTCCCCCATTGTTCATCGATCTGCTCGAGTGGGTGCCAGTAATGTCTCCATTGTGAGACTTGTTACTGTTTTTTTGGCATATCGAATATGCCACGGGGAGCTTGCCAGGCTCTGCCGTGCGGGCGAGATACTCTTGGTAGCTTGCCGGGCTCTCCGAGAGGGACAGAGGAATCGAACCTGGGTCTACTCGCTGTGCTATCACTCCAGCCCATATATGTGTGTGTATATATATATATATATGTATACACACACACACACACACACACATATATATGTTTATATTGGCTGCTCTTGGAATACTGGTGGTGTAGAGTATGAGATGATGAGACGTCGTATTGTTGTGGCCGCAAGGTCCAGGAATAGATTCACTCATGGGTGAGGCTCATCTGAGCATATGGAGAGAGGACAAGGCGAGTGTCTTAGCCCCCAAACTCTCTCTCCAGCCCACTTCTTGAATAACTTGACTTTGGAATTAGCCCCCGATCTGGACCATGGGACTTAACTTGTGGTACTCCGGTGGGCTCAAGGCATTCTGGGGGTTGCCAGGGATTGAACCCAGGTCGGCTGCACTTAAGGCAAACTTTGCCTTAGCTGCTGTCTTATCGCTCTAGATGGAACTTCAATAAAGATTATGAATCAAAAATGAGCTGTTCAAAAAATGAGGCAGTGGAAAATGTGTATCCGTGAAAGGTCCAGTGTTGGAACATTGTATGACTGGAACCCAATCACGAACAACAATGTAACAGCCCTGCATCACCCGGCGATTCAGTACAAAAGAAAATCAATCAATAGCGCCCTGGGGTTGAAGCGATCTCCCACATCCCATAGGGTCCCCAGAGCCCCAGATCCTTGAGCAAAGAGCCTGGAGTGAGCCCTGAGCACTGCTGGGTGTGGTGTGAAGAAACAAAAAACCTGCCAGCCTGACTCATGGCTGCTCTGCTACCCATCCCTACTTCGTTTGCTTCTTATGTTGGAGGGTGGATACCAACCCAACACTTTTTTTTTTTTTTTGCTTTTTGGGTCACACCCGGTGATGCACAAGGGTTCCTCCTCCTGGCTCTGTACTTTGTACTCAGGAATTACTCTTAGCGGTGCTTGGAGGACCCTGTGGGATGCTGGGGATGGAACCAGGGTCGGCTGCGTGCAAGGCAAACTTGCTGTACTATCCCTCCTGCCCCACGACGCCTTTTCTTCTCTTTTAAAGTTGTAGGTAAGGCCAGAGCTACGGTCCAGCAGGGAAGGTGCTGGCCTTGAACAGGCCGAGCCGGATTCCATCCCTGCCCCCGCATCCCTAATCCTGTCTCCCTTTGCTCCTTAGGTCGGCCGGTGGCGGCCCCTGATGCGCTCTGCCCAGGTAGAGCGAGTCGGGGAGGCCAGTGGTGGACGGGACTGGCCAGCATCACGAGGCCCGGGCTCCGCGTGTGTCCATGGCCAGTCAGTGCCCGTCTCTGCCCGGGGCCTTTGCCATCCTGAGCAGAGACTCCTGCACCTGCAACACAAGCCGAAGCGCCTGAGGGCAGGCTGCCCGCCGGCTGCCCGCTGCTCCTCATGGTGCGCCAGCAGCTGGGCCAGGACACCAAGGCCCGGAGCTGCCTGCGGGCGCTGAAGGCGGACGCGGAGGCCCAGCTGGTCGCCAGCCACTGGGCGGGCATGGACGCCGCCGGCGCCCCCGCGCCCGCGGAGCCCCCAGACCTGTCGCGGGCCGCGGCCCCGCTGCACCACCTGCTCGCGGAGGAGGAGGAGGAGGAGCTGTGCCCGGGTGCCATGCAGGACTCGGCGTCGTACCAGACGGCCCTGCAGACGCCGAGCGTCAGGGCCGATCCCCGGCTGTGGGAGCTCCAGGAGGAGGCCCGGGAGCACCGTGCATGGGACCTCGCCGATCCCCGGCTGTGGGAGCTCCAGGAGGAGGCCCGGGAGCACCGTGCATGGGACCTCGCCGATCCCCGGCTGCGGGAGCTCCAGGAGGAGGCCCGGGAGCACCGTGCATGGGACCTCGCCGATCCCCGGCTGTGGGAGCTCCAGGAGGAGGCCCGGGAGCACCGTGCATGGGACCTCGCCGATCCCCGGCTGCGGGAGCTCCAGGAGGAGGCCCGGGAGCACCGTGCATGGGACCTCGCCGATCCCCGGCTGCGGGGGCTCCAGGAGGAGGCCCAGGAGCACCGTGCACGGGACCTCCCCGATCCACGGCTGCGGGGGCTCCAGGAGGAGGAGGCCCGGGAGCACCGTGCATGGGACCTCGCCGATCCCCGGCTGCGGGGGCTCCAGGAGGAGGCCCGGGAGCACCGTGCATGGGACCTCGCCGATCCCCGGCTGCGGGGGCTCCAGGAGGAGGCCCGGGAGCACCGTGCATGGGACCCCGCCGATCCCCGGCTGCGGGGGCTCCAGGAGGAGGCCCGGGAGCACCGTGCATGGGACCCCGCCGATCCCCGGCTGCGGGGGCTCCAGGAGGAGGCCCGGGAGCACCGTGCATGGGACCCCGCCGATCCCCGGCTGCGGGAGCTCCAGGAGGAGGCCCGGGAGCACCGTGCATGGGACCCCGCCGATCCCCGGCTGCGGGGGCTCCAGGAGGAGGCCCGGGAGCACCGTGCACGGGACCTCGCCGATCCCCGGCTGCAGAAGCTCCAGGAGGAGGCCCGGGAGCACCGTGCACGGGACCCCGCCGATCCCCGGCTGCGGGGGCTCCAGGAGGAGGCCCGGGAGCACCGTGCATGGGACCCCGCCGATCCCCGGCTGCGGGAGCTCCAGGAGGAGGCCCGGGAGCACCGTGCACGGGACCTCGCCGCCGATGCAGAGCCCTTCCAGCCCCTCCGCTCCGGGCCGGGCCAGCCCCCGCGCTCCTCCTCGTCGCCGCTGCCCATCGAGGGCCCGCCGGGCTGGAGCCATGGGCGCTCCCTGAGGTCCACGGGGAGCCCCACCTCCCTGGCCAGCAGGCTGGAGATCAGCCAGTCCCCGACCAGGACCGTCCTGGGCTCGCAGCGCGGCCCGCGGGGGCCCAGCAAGCTGTGCGCGGAGCCCGGGCGGGCGGCGGGGGGCGGCCAGGAGCCCGAGGAGACGAGCTGGCCGCCCGCCTCGGAGCCCGCGAGCCCCCCGGGGCTCCCCGAGGCCAGCGCTGCGGGCAGCGGGCCCTCCCCCGGGCAGCCGCGCCCCGAGGCGGCGCCGGGCCCCGCCCACCCGGCGCCCACCGGAAGCGGAAGTGCCGGCCCCGACCGGAAGCCGCGCGCCGGAAGTGCCCGCGCGGGCCGCGGCCGGGCGTCCGGCGCGGCGCTGGGCGCGGGGCCCTCGTTGCCCGCGGCCCCCCCCGCCCGGGAGCCCCCCCGCCCCGGGCCCCGCCGCGGCGGCCCCGCCCCCCGCCCCGCCCCCCGCCCCGCCCGGGCCCCCGGAGCGGAAGTTCCACAGCTTCGTGGTGCTGCACACGCGCGCCGACGAGCACGTGGCCCTGCGCGTGCGGCGGCGGCTGGAGGGCCTGGGCGTGGCGGGCGGCGCCACCTTCTGCGAGGACTTCCAGCAGCCGGGCCGCGGGGAGCTGCGCTGCCTGCAGGACGCGCTGGAGCACTCGGCCTTCGCCGTGCTGCTGCTCACGCCCAGCTTCGGCTGCCGCCTGAGCCTGCACCAGCTCGGCCAGGCGCTCCTGGGCAGCCTCACGCGGCCCGGCTGGCGCGACAGCGCCGTCCCCTTCCTGCCCCTCGAGAGCTCCGCGGAGCAGCTGAGCCCCGACGCGGCCGCGCTGCTCGCGGGCCTGGTCTGGCTGGACGAGCGCTCGCCCGTCTTCGCGCAGAAGGTGGGCCGCACCTTCCGGCCCCAGGTGCTGCGGGAGCGCCGGGAGCACTGGAGGAGGGAGCAGGAGGTGCACGCCCTGCGCGAGCGGCGCCAGCGGCTGCAGGGGGAGCAGCAGCGGGCCCGCGCCTGGGCCGCCGCGACCTCGGCCTACGCCCGGAGCTACCGGGCGTTCTGCCGGCAGATGGAGCAGCTGCGGGTGGAGCTGGGCGGGTTCGAGGCCTGGGGCGCGGGGGACCCCGGGGCGCCCCCGCCGCTCTCCCCGGCCTGGCCGCCCGGCGTCCCGCCGCCCCCTGCTCTGCAGCCCCCCTTCCCGCCGCCCTCCCCCCAGAGCCCGGGGGTGCAGCCCCTGATCATCCAGAACGCCCACATGGTGCAGCTGGGGCTGAGCAACCACATGTGGGGCCAGAGAGGGGCCCCGCCCCTGGAGGACAAGGCGGGACCGGAGGCCGAGTGACCGCGGGACCGGGTCTGATCTTTGGGGGACCTTGGGGGGTCCCGTCCCTCTCGCCCAGCCGCCTACAGGGGTGGTCGGGAGAGGTTTTGCCACCCAGAACATTCTGGAAGGAGACTGCTACTCTCGGGAAGTGGCGTGAGCAAGACCCGATGATGATGTTTGTGGTGTCCCGGGGTCTTGGGATTGGACGTGGGGTTGGCTCACCTATTCTGATACTAGATGCAGGGCTGGGGGAGATTGCTGAGGTGCTTCGATTGTGATAAATATTTATTGAGTGAATATTGGTTTTTCGCCAGCACCGTCGGCCTCAGGGGGACCCCCCGCCTTTGATTTTTGGTGAGAAGAAAACGCCGGCGCCCGTTTCTTTCCGTTGGGGGCCAGAGCCAAGGGACGGCGGGAATTGGATGCTTTGCATGCAGCTGAGCTGGGCTCGAGCTCGGGCATCCCTTAGGGTTCCCCGAAGCACTGGCAGGAGCGATCCCTGAGTCATGCAGAGACAGGCATGACTCCTGAGCACTGCTGGGTGTGGCCCCCAAACCAGCTCTCGGGGCCTGAGGCTAGTGCAGGGGGTGGTGCATTTAGGAGTTAAAATGCGTCCCGTGAATGCTCACCGTCCAGTGGCTGGGGACTTCAGTGGGCTTGTTTTGGGGTGGGGGTTTGGGCCACACCCAGGGGCTCCAAGAGGCTATTCGCGGCTCTGCGCAGAGAACCAGAGGGAGGGAGTGATGGATTCAAACGGGGGGAGCGTGCAAAGAGCCTTTCTCCTGACCTGCCTCTCGGGAGGGAACCGGAACCCCTGCTGAGCCCGAGGAGGAAGCAACCCTTGCAAATCGGAACCTTCCAGAAGTCAGCATTATTGCAGAATGGGCAACCCCTCACCCCGATGCCTCCCACCCCGGTGTGACCAAAATTGTTATTTCCTGCCCATTGCCTGTTTCCTGTCTGTGGCTGTATTCCTTCCTCCTCTTTCCCCTCCTGGGAGCTCCCTCCTGAGAACTCAGGGACCCCACCCCCACATTCGGCTCTCCTTGGACCCCTCCGGGGACCCCTTGGTCCCCCCTCTGGTTGTCCTGAGCTGGGTTTCTCTGTCTCCCCCGACCCTCCTCCTGCAGATCCCCCCTGTCCCCTACTCCTGGCTGTCAGCCCTGCCGGCTGCCCTTCCCTCGGGTCACCCCAACCCCACCTCCAGCCCTGGCCTCCCCTGAGCTCCGGGTCCCGGGTGCTACTGTCCCCGGCATCTCTGTGCTGGAGGGGGCCCCAGAGAGCTCACAAGCTATGCAGTGCCTGACTGTCCCGCCCGCCCCCATCTTCCTTTGGTGTCCCAGTTTGAGTCGCTCAGCTGGAAAAATCGGGGGAGGCGTCCTTGACTGTCTCTGACAGGCGACCAGTTCTGATGCTGCCCCAAACATCTGTTCAGGGTCCCCCCAGGCCCCCCTGGAGCGATGGCACAGAGGGGAGCGTGCTGGCCTTGCACGTGTGCGGACCCGGGTTAGATCCCAGCACTCAGGGGCTGCAGAGCTTCACAGCGCCAGATGTGGCCCTGTTTCCCCTGCAGAATTCCTCTTTTCCTCCCTCTTCTGCCTCCACCTGGACGACCCTCACATCTAAGCAGTTCCCGCCCCTGATGACGTCCCAACACTACGTTCCCGGGGTGGCCACCAGAGGGCGCGCGTGAGTGCCGAGACAGCCCCAGTCGCCCCATTGATGCTTGGGGGGGTCTCCAGGGCTACAAGGAGGGGGGCTATGCACTTCACAAGGATCCACACATATGGGGGATGAGTCCCTGACCCCTGAGATATCACATTTTTAAAAAAACTTATTAGACACCATGAGGTACAGTTGTAGACTTACAAATTTTTGTGCTTGGGTTTCAATAATACAGTGATCGAGTACCCATCCCTCCACCAGTGCCCAATTCCCACCACCACGGATCCCAGTATTCCTCCCACCCCCCATCCCACCATGCCTCTGTGGCAGGGCATTCCCTTTTGTTCTCTCTCTCCTTTGGGTGCTAGGTAAAAGGTAAAGGCCCTCCCGTTGATCATCGATTTGCTCGAGCGGGCCCAGTAACGTCTCCATTGGAGACTTTGTTGTTACTGTGTCTGGCATATCCAATACTCTCGGTAGCTTGCCAGGCTCTCCGAGAGGGGTGGAGGAATCGAACTCGGGTCGGCCATGTTGGCCGCTTGTAAGGCGAACGCCCTACCCGCTGTGCTATCGCTCCAGCCCTCCTTTGGGTGCTATGGTTTGCAAAAGAGGTAATGGATGGCAATCATGTTCGGTCTCTAGTCTACTTTCAGCACGCTTCTCCCATCCTGGAAGGATCCTTCCAACACCCTTTACTTGGTGCTCCCTTCTCTATCTGAGCTGCCTTTTCCCCTAGCGTGTGCGGCTGGCCTCCAAGCCATGGAGTGAACCTCCTGGCACTTATCTCAGCTATTCCTAGGTGTTAGTCTCCTATTTTGTTACGAGATATCACATTTTTGGGGATCAAGTCTGTTTTTTGCAGGGGCTCAGATCTAGTATTTTTTTGGTTGTGCCAGAGGTTTTAACCTTGGGTCTGTGCTCAGCGATCACTTGTGGCAGTGCTTGGGGGACCGCGTGTGGGGCCTGGTATGGACCCATGTGAGTGCCGTGACTCCCTGACGCCAGCCTCACCCCAGCTCGCTCTCTGGGCCGCCCAGGTCTTTCTCTGTGAAACATCCTCTTGAGTCCAGGGAGCCCCCACCCCCCATTCACACTCCTGCTGGGGAACGGCCCCTTTTATTCATTCCATTCATTTGGTCATTCAGTATTAGTACTTCCTGTACAACAGGGATGCTGGGGTTCAGAGGAGTCATGGAAGGCTTCTCGGCGGTGGTTTCTCAGGCGAGGGGGTGAGGCCATGTGGAGGACACAAAGTCTCTTCGAGAGCCAAACCAGTGTGCGTTTCAACTGGGGTCCTTAGGGGATCGCACAGGTGCTGGGAGGCCTCCTGGTCACCAGCGCCTTTGGACAGCGGTTCCTGCCTCTTTCCTGCAGGGTCTGGAGCTCCAGAGACAAAACCAAGCCGAGATAAAACCGCCAGCTGCAGCATCCCGTCTCAGTGCTCAGGGGACCACATGGAGTGCCCGGCTCCATCCCGGGGCTAGGCCACATGCAAGGAAGGCAGGTGCCTTGCCCACCGCACTGCCCACCGTTTCTTCCCCACTTTCTCCTTTTCCTGCCCTGATGGCTCTCCCGAGGGAGTCCTGCCTTGGTGCCGTGTTCCGGTCATTTGGACCCTCGGCCTAGCCGCAGCTTTTCTCTCCTGCATACGGTGTCTCCCAGCACGATCTCAGAGTCCCCCGTGGACTGGCTACCGGACCTAGTTCTCTATTTGGTTTTCGGGCCACACCTGCTAAGAGGTTACTCCTGGTGGTGTCCCCGAGACCCTAGGGGCTGCCAGGGGTTGAACCTCAGCCGCCTGTAAGGCAAACGCCCTCCCGGCCGTCCTATCGCTCTGGCCCCTGGATCTTTTATTTTTAACCTGCTCACAGACGCGGCCTTTTAATAGCCCTAGGACATGGGCAGGGTGTCCAGTTTCCAAGGAGAGTTCAATGGTGTCTCCCCCCAGAAACCGCTGGGGGGTGGGGGTAGTGCCTGACCCAGTCTTTCATCTTCCCCAATGCCCCACTGGGGGTCCCCTGTAGTAGCACCCACTCTAGAATCACTGTCCCTGTTCTCTGCTGGCACCTAAGTACCGAAAGGGGGGGGCACCCTGTCCCTGAGTCCCTCATGTCAGTCCCAAACTTTGCCTACCCTGGGGGACTTTTGCTGAATCCATTTTCTTTTGGGAAGGGGCTCTCACCCAGCAATGACTCAGGGATCACTCCTGGCTTTGCACTCAGGAATTTCTCCTGGCAGTGCTTGGGGGATGCCAGGGTTGAACCCGGATTGGCTGTTTGCAAGGCAAACACCCTACCTGTTGTATTAGAGCTCCCATCCCATTTTGCTGTATCTTTGTTTGGGCTTTACTTTCCTTTCGGTTCTTGAGCCACACCTGACAGTGCTCGGGGCCAACTCCAGGCTCTGTGTTCAGGAATCATTACGGGCGGGGCTCAGGGGACCCTGTGGGGTGCTGGGGATCGAACCCAGGTTGGCCATGGGCAAGGCAAGCACCCTCCCTGCTGTCCTGTTGCTCTGACCCTTTGACTTAATTTCCTATTCCTTCAGTCCCTTCATTTTTGGAGTGGGGGAGGGGATAGGGCCAGAGACCTAACCTGGGGCTCCTTTGAGCTATCTCCTCACTTAATTTTTCCTTTTTGGGGGTGGGGGGAGGCATACCCCGCTGTGCTCAGGGATCGCTCCTGGCGGTGCCTGGGGAAAGGGCAGTGGTCTAACCCCAGCATTTATTTTCCCTTTAAACAGGCTTTAGTGTTGGGCCTGAGCCCAACAGGGGAAGTACAGGCCTGAGTACAGCAGGGTGGGCACTTGCCTTGCCCGTGCCCGTCAGGGTTCCGTCCCAGCTCATAGCTCGTAGGGTCCCCTGAGCACCACCAGGAGTAGCCTGAGAGTGATCTCAAAAGCAAAAATGAATTGATAGGCTGTCCCAGGGCGTGTGGCTGTGGCATCTGGTATCGGGGCTCACCAGATCACTGCCCCATAGGCTGCAGGAACTGCCCTCCAAAGGAATCAGGAGTCCGCCCCGAGCACCATCACAAAGAAACACAAAACCCAAACCAAGGATCTCCTCACACCCAGCCACACAGGCCTCTTTGGCCTTTGAGCCCCCATGTCCGTTTCTTTACCCACTCAGTGAGCACTGGGTGAGCTGCAGGGCCCCATCTCCTCTACTTGGTGCCCGGGACCCAAGGGGTGGGGGTGGGGATGACACAGCCTCATGTGGTTGTTCTGAAGAACAAATGAGGGAGCCAGAGGTCACTGACCGGGGTTCAGGTGCTAACGTCTGAGAAGGAAAAACACCCAGGGCGAGGGGAAGGAGAGGTGCCATGGAGAGAATCTAGGGAGGCTTCCTGGAGGTGGCGGTATTCCACTCAGTGCTCTCCATGCCGTTTGGTAGACTTGGACAGAGGTGGCGCTGGGGCCCAGAGAGGAAACATTTCTGGCTTCTGTAGGAGGGGGGTGTGCCTGCCACCCCCGTGTGGGAGCCACCCTCTTTATCCGGATCCAACTGGATCTCTTAGCAGGCTCCACACCCATGTCCAGCTGGAGCCGACCACATGACAAGGGGCCCTGCGCTATCTTTGGCCCTGGGCCCTGTAAAAGGGGGCCGTGTCTTGGAAGACAAGGGGTGGTTCGGGACAGGCCGGGGGGACTCCAGCCCAGATCCCCCAAGGGGGAAGGCATTCATTCATTCATTGGGCAGCTTGTGTTCGAGACAGGCAGTGGGCGCACAGGCCACCCCTGAGCGTGGCAGGTTGCTGCGCTCCTGAGCTAGCTTGGCTTTTTTGGCCTCACCTGGCGGTGCTCAGGAGTGACTCCTGACAGACTTGGGGGACCCCGTGAGATGCTGGAGATCGAGTCCTGGCCCACCATGTGCAAGACAGATGCTCTCCCTGCTGTCTCTGCAGTTTACTTTTGACACTGATACAAGGCGGGTGACGTTTCTTACTGGGGGCCCTTTGGTTCCCGCCCCCCGCATGCTGTCTTTCTCCGAGAAAGCGCCGCCTCACAGTCCTCTCCCTGAGGTGCCTCCCAGGCTTCTGCTCCCCATTTTAGGACCCCCCATTTCTTCGGGAGGGCTCCTCCCCAGACCCCTGCCAGGTGAGCTGCACCCCCTGCAGCCAGCCGGGACCCTCTGGGAACCCATTTCTGTGCCTTCAGTGGCCACACGAAGCAGCATCTGAAACCCACCCCAGCCCTTCAGTGGAACGGCGGAGGGGCCCAAGTCTGGCTCTTTTGGGGTATGCGGGGGGGGGGGGGTGGCTTCTCCTGGTTCAGTGCTCGGGGTCACTTCTGGACATGCTTGGGGTGCCAGGGGAATGTTGGGGGGGGGACTCAGCGCCCCTTCAACTAAAGTCTGGGCTCCAGCCTGCTGTGCTCGGCGTACGCCCCAGTCATTCTTCGTGAAGTCTTGCTGCTGTCTGTGGCCTCAGTTTCCCCCGCTTCTCACTGAGGCTTTCCCCAAGCAGGCGCAGGAGCACGGCCTGAGGCTGAGTAAATGCTCAGGTCGTGTCTCGCCCCAGGTGGGCTTCCCTGGATGCCTTAGCTGGGAGTTTTCTGGAAGGGAACCAGCCCCGGCGCCCGTGGGCTCTGCTGGAGGTGACGAAAGATCAACCGACCTTGGGGGCTGGCAGCGCCCTGGGCGGCCAGCAGGTGCCCGGGGCAGCAAAATGCTCCGTGACCGAGGGACACTGCGCTGGGGGGCGAGGGGCTGCTCTGCACACGTGGCGACCCCCGGCCAAGGCCCAGGATGGCAGGCGAGGGTGAGCGGGCGCCGGGGGACGCACCCAGCTCGGGGGGCCGGAAGGAGGGCCCTGGGGCTTCCCTCGTGCCACCCTGCCCGCTGCCAGCCTGCTCCTCGAGCCGCGGTCCACGTGCCGCTCAACACCAAACCTTCCCCGCGGGACCCCGGAAACGGCGGGCCCGCCCCCGCGGTGGGGTGTCCGGGGCTGGCTCCCCACCCCCGACAAGGACCACAAGGGGGCTTCCAGAGTCTCGTTTTAATGCCGTCGGCTCCCAGGCACGCGTCCGCCCCGTCGCTCCAGCTCCCCGCGGGCCGGGCCCGACGACGGCGCTAACACACACTGCAAATGCACACACGGGCCTCGTCCGCGCAGAGGCGGCGGGGGGCGCGGGGACCTCCGCACAGACCCCCCTGCCCCGCCGGGGACCCGATGCCGAGGCTGCCTGCCGGCTCGCCGAGGTCGGGCTCTTCTCGGGGACGCCCGGGCCCGGGTGCTGGGGCAGCTCGAGAGGCCGCTGCAGCCGTGGGGACAGCCGCCAGGCCTGACCGTGCTCCGGGGCCCCCGGCGCTGCGTGACCGTCACCCTCGTTTCGGGGAGCGGCAGGGAAAGGGCACTTAAGAGACGCCCCTGGGCTTGGGGGGCGGGGCCCGGGGTTCGTCCCCTGGACCTTCCTCGGTTTCCTTTTTAGCCACCCCAGCTCAGGCCAGGCGGGACAGGGGCGCTCAGGCACGAGCCCTTGGGGCTTCCCTCGTGCCACCTGCCCACAGCAGGGTGGGCGGGGGGCGCCAGGGCGGCGATCCCGCTCCGGAGCTGCCCCCGGGGGTCGTTCTGGGCCTGACCCGGCTCGCACTCGCTGCTGCTGCATCGGAGGAGCGCCCCTCCCCGGGGGTGGGGGAGGAGCGCCCATGGCTTAGATTCCTGTTCTAGGTTAAGGCGGAGGGTGGGCCCCTGGGGAAGGTCCTGCGCCTCTCCAGCAAGGACCGGGCCCGGATGGCCCACTAGCACGGGATCCAGGAGGTCTCTAGCACCGCCGGCTCTCCCAGGAACCGCCTGGGTCCCCGCCGAGGGGAAAGGGCCGGCTGTGGAGGCGGAGCGAAAGCAGCCCTTGGGGCACAACAGCCAATCGGCGAGCAGCGCCGCAGCCCCGCCCCTCCCAGAAGCAGCCCTGGGGGCGCGACAGCCAATCCGGGGGCAGCGCCAAGGCCTCGCCCCTCCCGGAAGCGGAAGCAGCCCTTGGGGAGCGGCAGCCAATCGCTGGCAGCGCGACAGCCCCCACAGGAAGCGGAAGCAGCCCTTGGGGCGCGACAGCCAATCCGTGGGCAGCACCGCGGCCCCGCCCCTCCCGGAAGCGGAAGCAGCTCTTGGGGAGCGGCAGCCAATCGATGGCAGCGCAACAGCCCAACCGGAAGTGGAAGCAGCCCTTGGGGCGCGACAGCCAATCCGTGGGCAGCGCCGCGGCCCCGCCCCTCCCGGAAGCGGAAGCAGCCCCTGGGGCGCGACAGCCAATCGGTGGGCGGGCAGGCGGGCAGCGCCTCGGCCCTCCCGGGTCAGTGCAGCTCGATGAAGGCCTCCAGCTCCTCGGGGATGAAGCCCTTGTAGGGGATCTTGTTCTTGTCCAGGGCGCGGGCGGCAAGGCACTGCAGGGTCAGGTAGTTGAAGGGCTGGATGGTGCTCCGGGCCAGCAGCTTCTCGTCCAGCAGCTCGTAGGCCGTCTTCTTGAAGGCGTTGGTGGCGTCCATGTGGGCCCCGGCCTCGATCAGGGCGTTCATGATGGCCGGGCAGTTGTTCTGGGCGGCGACGTGCAGCGGCGTGTTGTTGTCGAAGTCGCGGCTGTCCGGGTCGGCCCCGCAGTCCAGCAGCACCTTCACCACCTGCAGGGAGGGGAAGCGGCCCACGGGGTAGCGGCCCACGCTCGTGGTCTCCTTGTCGGCGGCCATGTGCAGCGGCGTGAAGCCGTTCTTGCCGCGCGGCGCGCACTTGAGCAGCCGGTACACGGTCTGGTGCTTGAAGTGCTGCTGCTCGGGGCTGGCCTCCACCTTCTCCAGCAGGAAGAGCAGGTGGAGGATGATGGCCAGCGCCTTGGTGAACTGGGCCGCGTCCCCCGGCTCCTTGGGCAGCTGCAGGGCCCGCTCCACCTCCCGCACCCCCTTGCAGAGCACGCCCATGAGGTCGGGGAAGCCGATCTGGGTGCCCGGGCCGCCCCGGGCCGCCCGGTCCTGCAGCACGTAGGAGAAGAGCTCGGCGAAGGACAGGAAGCTGCTGGCGGTCATGGGGCTCAGGGGCTCCAGGCTGCTCTGCTGCATGTCCAGGGCGTAGCGCCAGAGGCGGATGCAGCGCTCGAAGTTGCCGGCGTCGGCGTAGACGGCGCCCCGGTAGCGGATGTAGTAGGACGTGTCGGGGTGCGCGGGCCCCAGGATGCGCTCGCGGATGAGCAGCGCCTGCATGCGCATCTGGTCGGGGTCGGCGACGAGCGCCTCCAGCTCCTCGGGCGTGGCCGCCTCGCGGGCGCAGCCGTAGGCCAGCACGGGCTGCGGGGGCTCGGGCCTGGGCAGGGCGGCGCCGCCCTGGTGGCGCAGCTCCATGGCGCGGCGCCAGTGCTTGAGGGCGCCCAGCAGGTCGCGCTTCTTGTCCACGTAGGTGGCGCCCAGCAGCTCCAGGGCCTCGACGGCCGCCTCCCGGCTGGCGGGGCAGCAGCTCTCGCGGGGGCCCGCCGCCCGCGCCGCCGCCTGCTCCTGCTCCTCCTCCTCCTCCTCCTCCCCGCGGCGCGGGAGGCCGGCGGGCGGGCCCGGGGGCGCCGGCTGCTCCTGGATGAGGTACTCCACGATGTTGGTGTGGCCCGTCACGCTGGCGGCCAGCAGCGGGGTCATGCCGTAGCCGTCGCGCTCCATGCGCGCGCGGCAGCCCAGCAGCAGCTGCAGGATCTCCAGGCTGCCGGACTCGGCGCAGTCGTGCAGCGCCGTGTTGCCCTTGGCGCTGCGCCGGTTCACCCGCGCGCCCTGCTCCAGCAGGTAGCGCGCGATCTCGCGGTGGCCCTTGTAGCACGAGATCATCAGGCAGGTGTGCCCGTGCCGGTTGGCCACCTCCAGGTCGGCGCGGTGCTCGCCCACCAGGTAGCGCACCACCTCCAGGTGCCCGTCGAAGCAGGCGGCGCGCAGGGGCGTGGAGTTGGTGCGCGTGGTGCGGTTCACCGAGGCGCCGCGCCGCAGCAGGCTGCGCACCACGTCCAGGTGCCCGGCGGCCGCGGCGGCCCAGAGCGGCGGCGCGCCCTCGATGGTCTCGCCGTCGAAGTGCACGGCGCCGCCCGCCTCCACGCTGGCGCCGCAGCGGTCCACCAGGTACTCCACCACCTCCAGGTGCCCGTGGCGCGCGGCGATGAGCAGCGGCGTGCCCGCGCCCGCCGCCTCGCCCGTCAGCTCGTCCAGCTCCTCGCGGCCGCGGCCGCTCAGCAGCCTCTGCAGCAGCTGCAGCTTGCCGTCGCGCGCGGCGTTGTACACGGCCGTGCGGAGGTCCATGGCGCGGGCGCGGGCGCGGGCCGGGGCAACCTTCACGGGCGCCCCGCCGCCATCTCGGGCCCGCGCCGGGCCGGACGAAATGGCCGCGGCGGGGGCGCGCGGGGCGCGCCGGGAGACGTAGTTCCCCGGGGCTCGCGCGCCGGGGAGGCGGCGGGGGCCGGGGGGCGGCGCGGACTACATTTCCCAGAAGGCCGCGCGCGGCCGCGACGCCCGCTGGGAGCTTCCGGTTCCGCCGCCGCCGCTTCCGCCGCCGCCGCCGCCAGGGGGCGGAAGACGGCCACGCCGAGACGACCGAGAGCCCCGCTCCCCGCCAGACCTCGCGAGGGGCTGACTGTGGCGGGCGGGGACGCGGCGGGAGCGGTGGAGTCGGGCTTCGCGCTCCCGCCAGGGGGCGCCCGAGAGAGAGCTGGGAAAGCGGGGCGGGGCGAGGGCTTCGGGGGAGGGGGGGAACATCCGGGAGTACGGGTGGCCCGAAGGACCAATCTTCATCGCGCGCCTGCCTGCGCGACGCTCGTTCGTGGCTGGATTTACCCGTTTGTCGGTGCCCGTGTGCCTGCACGCGTCCATCCGCACAGCTTTCGTTTCTGTCCCCTCCGTCTGCATCCTCGTAGCACACAGTTCCCAGTTCACTTGCTGAAGCCCTTGAGACGCCCAGGGCTGCTTCCGAGCCGGGACACTGTAGGAACTCACACCCCCGAAACCTGGACCCGGCTCCCGAGGATTCTGATCCCCGCCTCGTGCTGCTGCTGCCGGCCCCAGTATCCTGGAGAACTGCGGCAGCGATCAGCATCAGTCCCCCATTCCCCAGCTCCCAAAGCCGCTCGACAGGCTGATGGGCTCCTGCATCGCAGGCAGGAGACTTGGTTGGATCCCCAGCACCGCATGATCCCCGGAGCACTGCGGGGAGAGCCCCTCCTGCCCCCTCCGGACAATCACGGGGAAAGCTAAGGGATGTTCATGCCTCAAGCAAGAGAAGGCGCCCTGGGGCTGGAGCCATAGCACAGCGGGGAGGGCGTTGCCTTGCACGTGGCCGACCTGGGTTCGATTCCCAGCATCCCATAGGGTCCCCCCGAGCACCACCAGGAGTAACTCCTGAGTGCAGAGCCAGGAGTGACCCAAAAAGCAAAAACAAACAAATAAATAAAATTATTAAAATATAAGGCTGTTGGGGCTGGAGCGATAGCACAGTGGGTAGGGCGTTTGCCTTGCACACAGCCGACCTGGGTTCGATTCCCAGCATCCCATAGGGTCCTCCGAGCACTGCCGGGAGTAATTCCTGAGTGCAGAGCCAGGAGTAAGCCCTGTGCATCGCCGGGTGTGACCCAAAAAGCAAAAAAAAAAAAGGAGAAGGCGCTTTGGCGAAATGCCTGCTGTTCTCCGCCACTTCTGTTCCCTCCGCTGGGCACATGGTTCCCCATCCTCTTCTTAGGGAAATAACCCGGGTCCAGCTTGGATAATTCACACACATACCAGCTGCAGGGAGGTCCCCTCGCGTCAATTAAGGGGCCCGAGAAGGGCCATCATAGCCATCAGCAACTCGGAGAACCAGGGAACCATCTGCAAGACTCAGTACCCGAGCGGAGACGTAGTACAGGGATTAAGGTGATTGTATTGCATCTCCCCAACCCCAACCTACTTTAAAAAAATATTTTATTTTGTGGGGCTTTTTGGATCACACCTGGCGATGCTCAGGGGTCACTCCTGGCTCTGCACCCCAATCTACTTTTACTTTTATTTTTTTGATTTTTTTTTTTAGGTCACACCCGGCGATGCACAGGGGTCACTCCTGGCTCTGCGCTCAGGAATGACCCCTGGCGGTGCTCAGGGGACCATGTGGGATGCTGGGAATCGAACCCGGGTTGGCCGAGTGCAAGGCAAACGCCCTCCCCACTGTGCTATGGCTCCAGCTCCCTACGTTTACTTTTTAAGATTAGATTAGCTTGGCTTTTTGGATCACACCAGGTGATGCCTAGGGGTTACCTCTGGTTCTCCACTCAGGAATTTCTCCTGGCAGTGCCCGGGGGACTGTATGAGATGCAGGCCCAGGGCAGGGCGCCGTGCAAGGCGTATGCTCTACCTGTATGCTCAGACCGCCCAACCTAGGTCTAAATCCTGGGCATTAAGCAATGGTTCCCCACCCACCTAGCACTGCTAGGGGTGATCTCTGAGCACCAACTATGATGTTCTCACCCCCCCCCCCCCCAAAAAATAGAAAAACAAAACTCAGAACCAGAAGGCAGGGGTGGGTGGGATGGATTCCTCCTCTCTTCACCTTCTGTTTTGTCTGCAGTGCTGGGGGTTGAGTCCCCCTTCCAGCCCCCCCAGCCCTCCCCCCCCCCGCAGTTTGCCAGGGTGTTTGGTGTGTGCCCTTCTGAAGCTGGTGGGTTTCCACAGAAGGGGCTTATGTGAAGTGGAGAGGAAGGAGAAAGATGATCACTTCCTCCTGATCCACTTTTGCCACCCTGGGAGCGACTGGGAAGACTAGGACTGGTAAAGTCTGCCGGGAGTCCCTGAGTCCCGCCAGCCCCATGAGGTGGCCCTCAAGCCACACCTCACATCAGTCCCGTTGGTCTTCTCAGCACGGGAGTTAATCCCCACCCCCCGAATTCGCAGAGAGTGCGGACTCAGGCTGGAGAGAGGAAATTCTCTCTGCAGGAAAAGAATACCAGTCCTCGACCCTGACTTTCTCACAGAAAAGGATTTCAGAGGAGATAAGCAGGGAGGTAAAAACAGATTTTGTTTTGAGTTTTTTTTTTTTTAAGCTCTTTGGGTCACACCCGGCGATGCTCAGGGGTTACTTCTGGCTCCGCACTCAGGAATGATTCCTGGCGGTGCTCGGGGGGACCCTATGGGATGCTGGGAGTCGAACCCGGGTTGGCCGCGTGCAAGGCAAACGCTCTACCCGCTGTGCTGTCGCTCCAGTCCTGCTCTGAGGTTTTTGAGACAGAAAAGGAGGGAAAGGGAGGGAGAGAGTAAGGTGCCTAACGGAGAAGGTGGGCTGTTCCAAAGGCGGAGAGAGCCCGAGTGCCCATCGCGAGAGGGGAGGTGCGGGCCCCACCTGGGCACAAGCAGCACATGGGCTCCAGCAGCCTCTGCGCACGCTGCCTTTGCTCAAGGGGGCTCTTAAAAGGTTTCTCCCAAGCTGCCCTCGGCAAGTCTTTTGCCAGGCTGGCTGCCAAGGCAGGCAGAGTTGGGGTGGTCTTTGAAAACGCCCTTGCTTGACCTTTGTTCCTGCTGGATCTTCCCTAGGGAGGCTCCAGCCTGCTCTGGTCAGGGCTCGCTCCAGGCAAGGGTCTTACGGGTCCTGGGGGCCTTAGGTGGTTTCACTGCTCCCCATGAATCGCAGAGATTGGGGGGCCCTTCCCTAACCTCCCTGCCCCACTACCCCCTCCACCTCTCTCTTCTCTCTCCCACCCCAAAGCTTGAATGACCGATTCCTTTGCGATGCTCTGGAGATGGAACCAGTCCTTTTTCCCTTTTGGCTTGGGGGCCACACTTGGCTGTGCTCAGGTCTTACTCTTGGTTCTGTGCCCAGGCTGGAAGGGCTCAGGGGACACTCTGGGGTGTAGGGGCTCGAACCCAGGTCTGGCATGTGTAAGGCCGGCGCCCTCCCCGCTGCACCCCTGCAGGTGTGTCATTGGAGAGCGGGCTTACCAGCAGTGCTCAGGGGCTGTTCTGGCTCTGTGGTTCCCCGGCCTCCTCGCCGTCAAGCATGTGCTCCAGCCCCCCGAACTCTGATTACTTATTTCCTTTTGGCTGGAGTCCAGGAGTCAGAATTTCTGCAGCTAACTTGGTGCCCAGGGGGAGGCCCACCCATCATGGGGGGGGGGGTGCTTCCGTCTGCATTGTCCCCGCGCAGATGGCCGTGTCCTGCGACACAATCAGCCACTCTGCAACAAGCTACGAGATTCATTCAAAGAACGAATTCACAGGAGAATGTCAGGGCTGGAAACTGGGTGGAAACTGGAAGGCGGCAGTGGCAGCAGACTTGGGGCAAACCCCTTCGCTGGCAGACTGCGCATGCGGTCCAGAGTCCGAGCACGAAATCATGTTCAGATACGGGTATGCCAGTCCAGTCATCTGCTGGGGGGCGTTGGTATGTGTTTGTCATACACAGATGGTACTGAAAATATTAATTATTTTCTTTTTGGGTCATACCCAGCGATGCTCAGGGGTTACTCCTGGCACTCAGGAGTTGTTCCTGGCGGTGCTCGGGGGACCATGTGGGATACTGGAAATCGAACCCGGGTCCGCCACGTGCAAAGCAAACGCCCTGCCCTCCGTACTATAGGTCCAGCCCCTTATTCTTTTTTTTTTTTTTAATATTTGGGACCGCACTTGGCTTTGGCCCCTTTTTTGGTTTTGGGGCCACTCTGAGAAATGCTCAGAAATTACTCCTGGCTCTGTGCTCAGGATTTACTCCTGGTGGTGCTTAGGGGACCCAATGGGATTTTGAGGATTTAACCTGGGTTGGCTGCGTGCAGGCAGAAAGCTCTTCCCTCTGTACCTCTGATGCAGCTCCATGAAAAGATATTTTAAAAATTTATCCCGGATGGAGCTGGAGCGATAGTATAGTGGGGAGGGCATTTGCCTTGCACGCGACCAAGCTGAGTTTGGTTCCCAGCATCCCATAGGGTCCCCCGAGCACCTCCAGGAGTAACTCCTGAGTGCATGAGCCAGGAGGAACCCCTGTGCGTTGCCGGGTGTGACCCAAAAAGCAAAAAAGAAATGATCCCGGAGGGCCGAGAAATAGCACAGCGGTAAGACACTTGCGTTACAAGTGGCTCACCCGGGTTCAATCCCTGGCATCCTTAGAGAGCCTCCCAAGGATTGTCAGGACTAATTCTTGAGTACGGAGCCAGGAGTAACCCCTGAGCATCTCTGGGTGCGACTCAAAAAATCCCTCCCCCAAAATAAGAAAAGCCAGGAGTTCATGAGTGCTCTGTCGCTCCGCAGTGCTCTGAGGTTAGTCCTGGGCGTTGAGGACCCCCGGTAGACAGGGATCTGGCTGCCCCTGGTTCCCTCCCCGGGCTGCACTTTCTGCAGAGCACCGCCAGGGGTCACAGCTGAGCCCAGAGCCTTCAGTAACTTCCTAGAAACGCTGGACGTGCTACTCCTGGCTTCTGTGCTCAAGCCTCATTGCTGGTGGTGTTCCTGGGGACCCAAGGGGGTGCTGGGGCGGGAACCGAACCCGGCTCCTTCGCGTGCAAGGCCAGCACCTGTGCTGCGTTCCTAGCAGGGACGAGGCGCCTTTCCGCTCTGCAGAGGTGTCAAAGGTGTTAGGAAATGGCAGATTTTTTGGGTTTTGGTTTTGGGCCGCGCCCAGTGCTTGGGGCTGACTCCCGACTTTGTGCTCAGGGATCACTCCTGTTGGGGAGATTGGCCTGGCACTGGCTGCAAGCGAAGCCAACACCTTCCCTTCCGCCCTACACCTCTGTACCCCTTCCTGTCTGCAGGGGTGGTGACACTCAGGGTGGGCGTGGGGCCCGTGGCACCCCCCTCCCCGAGCCCATGCCCTCCCTGCCCCTCCTCGCTCTGTGCTCTGTTCCCGTCAACCTTCCCTTGCCGGGCTGGACCAGGGAGCAGGAGCTGGCGGTACCCGTTGGGGGTATTGACCCCCCCCCCCCACATGACCCTCTCTGATCCGTGCTGGACTCGGGCTGGTACCCGGCGATCCAGAAAGGCGGGGATGCTGGGGGCAGACCCCAGAGTCAGGCGTGGGCGGTGGAGAAGGCCTGGTGGCTGCTGCCGCTGCCATGGAAACCACAGGCGCTCTCCCCTGAAGGGCCCATTAAGGTGCAGGGTGTAATCAGCGCGCCCAGGCGCCCCCCTCACCCCCGCTGTGTGTGGGGGGGGGGGGTTGCAGACCACCTCCTTGCAGTGGGGGAGCCTCACACCCGGCTGGTGCCTGCGTGATCAAAGGTCTCTGCTTGCCGTGTCAACGTCACCCTCCCATGGCAGGGCCCATGCTGGTGGTCCCGCTCAGGACTGGAGGGACCCTCCGCCCACGAGGGGTTGCTGGGGGTGCCTTCGCCACAGACCCCGCTGCCAGTCCTGTCCCCCAGGGGCTGGGGTGGGGCTCATGGGTAGTGCTGGTGGGGGGACAAGGGCCGGGTGGATGCTGAAGGCCCGCCTAAATGCACTGACCTTGGGGAAGCTCTGGAGCAATGCACCCCAGTGTGTGAGCACCTCAATGCGTGAGCACCCCAGTGTGAGCACGTTAATATGTGAGGGCCCCAGTGTGTGAGCACTGCAGTGTGGGCACCCCAGTGTGTGAACGCCCTGTGTGAGCATCCCGATATGTGAACACCCTGTGTGTGAGCATCCCAGCGTGAGCACCCCAGGGTGTGAGCGCCCTGTGTGTGAGCACCCTGTGTGTGAGCACTGCAGTGTGAGCACCCCCACGTGCGCGCATCTGTGCTCCTCGCTATGACAGGGTTGAAGGGAATGGGCCTGGAGAGACCGTCCTGCAGGCAGGCACTGCCTTGCGTGAGGCCAACCCGGGTTCCATCCTCGTCCCCATCGCCCAGATCAGTCTCCTCAGCCCCGCCAGGAGCCATCCCTGAGCGCAGAGCCAGAAGTCAGCTCTGAGCACCGCCAAGACAAAAGCATCCAGGGCCCTTTGGAAGGCATTTTGCCTGAACACCCCACCCCCACCCCGTGCTTTCTCGCACCCCGACCGACATGCGTCATTTGGTCTGACTGTTCTGGAACCCGGAGCTTCCCAGGCACAAGGCTGGTCCCTCCCACGTATGTTGGCATAAGGGGGGCCGGGGACCTGGCAAAGAAGGAAAGCAGCACCTTCGGATCCAGAGTTTGGGGGGCGGCCGCGGCTCTGGCTCATTCAAGTAATTTCCTCACTTCCTGGGGGCTGTGACAGGTACCTGTGTTGCCGCGTTCCAGGTGCTGGGATAATGATGGCATGGGCACCGTGACCCCCAGGGAGGACATCAGATAAGACAGAGGCCCCACCCGGAGCTTCTTCAGCCAAGAGAAAAACCCTTGGCTTTCATCCAGGCCCTCGAAATGGGTCAAGATGACATAGAGATAGTGGCAGCCCGCGCCACGCGACGGTAGCCAGCCCTGATCTGAAAAAAAAAAATAGCAAAGATGTTGGGGCCAGAGTGATAGGACAGCGGGGAGGGCACTTGCTTGCACGATGGCTGACCCGGTTTGATCCCTGGCACCCCATAAGGTCCCCTGAGACCCACCAGGAGTGATCCCCGAGCACAGAGCCAGGAGTCAGCCCTCAGCATCACCGCTGTGGTTCCCAAAACAGAACAGAAGAGCGAAGAAACAACGTGAAAGTAATAGTGAAGGGGCTGGAGAGATCGTGCACGCGGCCGACCCTGGTTTGATCCCCAGAACCACATCGGGTCCCCCAAGAACACCAGGAGTGACCCCTGAGCCCAGCCAGGAGTCAGCCCTGAGCATTGCTGGTTGTGGCGCAAACACAGCAGCAAAAGCAGGCAGAAGGGTTGGAATGGGCCAGTTGGGAATCAGGAACATGGGTGTATGTGAGCTGTCCATTATGTATTTTTTGAGGTGAATGCTGGAGCGATAGCACAGTGGGTAAGGCGTTTGCCTTGCACGCAGCCAACATGGCCGACCCGAGTTCGATTCCTCCGCCCCTCTCGGAGAGCCCGGCAAGCTACCGAGAGCATCTCGCCTGCATGGCAAAGCCTGGCAAGCTCCCCGTGACGTATTCGATATGCCAGACACAGTAACAACAAAGTCTCCAATGGAGACGTTACTGGGCCCGCTTGAGCAAACTGATGAACAACAGGAGGACAGTGACAGTGACTACTCAGGGGCTACTCCTGGCACAGTGCTCAGCAGCAATCCCCCTAGTAATGGGGGGACTATCTGTGTGGGGATGAAAACTGCAGTTGGCAGGGTGCAGTGAGAGCAAGCACCCTCGCCCCTGCACCACCTCCCCCATCCCTCCCTCCTTCCCTTACTTCTTCCTTTCCTTCCTTCGATCCTGATCCTTCCTTCCTTCCTTCCTTCCTTCTTTCCTTCCTTCCTTCCCTCCTTCCTTTCTTCCTTCCCTCCCCTTTCTTCCTCTATTCATCCTTCCTTCCATCCTTCCTTCCTTCCTTCCTTCCTTCCTTCTGCTTTTTTGGGGGCACGCTCAGCAGGGCTCCTGGCCCACTCCTGCTCGGCCTTGGGGTCCTTCCTGAAAGGGCTGAGGGGACCATGCCTCTGCCTCTGTCAGGGAACGTCTGCACGCAGGGTATGAGCTCACACGATGAGCAACCTTTCTGGTCCCCTTTCCTCTCCCTCTTTCCCCAAGAAGTTCTCAACAGGAAATGAGGGATAATGAGTTCCTGTATCAAGGGAACTGGCTGTACCAGCACAATGCGGGAAAGGCAAGAAAGGGGTGTCTACCTTTCCAGCCTTTGCCTCCCCGCCCCCTGCCCCCTCGCGGCTGCTAAGTGGATCCCAGGGCCGGCAGGAGAAGGTGACTAATTGGCGGCCGAGCTCATGGCCTCTTTGGGGTGAGTCATCAGGTACTGCTCAGCTTCTGCTTCTGACGAGGCTGCGCGGCATCCCAGTGCGTTTACCTCGTCACTGGATTTTACCGGCCGGTGGCTCTGCACCGGGGAAGGGGGCGGGTAGGTTTGGAGATGGAATCAGGGCGATGAGGGGCTGGAGGATAGGACAGCGGGTAGGGAGTTTGCCTTGCACGTGGCCGACCTGGGTTCGATTCCCAGCATCCCATAGGGTCCCCTAAGCACCGCCAGGAGGAATTTCTAAATGCAGAGCCAGGAGTTACCCCTGTGCATCACTGGGTGTGACCCAAAAAGAAAAAAAAAATCAGGACGATGAACTGAGTCCCCAGTCTTAACAAGTTTTGTTTCTTGGGGGCCGCATAGGGTGGTGCTCAGGGACTACTCCTGACTCTGTGCTCGGGAATCATTTCCTGGAGGTGCCTTGAGGATCCTGGGTGGTACTGGGGAACTGAACCCAGGTTTGCCAGGTCTACTGCATGCCAGGCAAGCACCTTTTCCATGCCCAGACTGGGCTATCCTCTCTCCAGCCCCATGATGGTTCTTGGGTTATTGTTTTTCTTTTTTGGTCACACCCGACCAAAATGCTCAGGGGTTACTCCTGGCTCATGCACTCAGGAATTACCTCTGGCAGTGCTCGGGGGACCCTATGGGATGCTGGGAATTGAACCCGGGTCGGCTGCGTACAAGGCAAACACCCTACCCGCTGTACTGTCGCTCTAGCCCCCATGATGGTTCTTGGAATCCTGGTCCTGATTGGTGTATTCAGGCCACACCTGTAAGTGCTCAAGGCTGCCTCCTGGCTCTCGGCAGGCACTCAGGGATCACTGATAGGGGATCACGTCCCATAGAGGGACTTCGGGGTATACTGGGGATCGCACCCAGTTCTTGACACTCAAGGTGGGTATCTTCTTCGCTGTCCTATCGTCCTGGCCCTGATGGTTGGTTTTTGTTTGTTTTTGGGCTCACACCCGGAGATGATCAGGGGTTACTCCTGACTCTGCTCTCGGGAATTACTTCTGGTGATGCTCGGGGAGCCTTCTGGGATGCCAGGGATCGAACCCGGGTTGGCCCCCATGCTAGGCAAATGCTCTCCCCACTATTCTATGACTCTGGCCTCTGGGTTTTCAATCAAAGGAGGAACTTTGCCAAATCAGAGCCAGAGGAGTTCAGATGAACCTGGTGCGAGTTTAGGGGGACCCGACTGGCCTCTGGCCCCAACCCTCTGTGCAGGCCCCTAACTCAGCTTCTCTCCCAGCGCCCAGGGGTCTCTTCTCATGTAAGCCAGAGAATTGAAGCCCGCCGCCCCTCCCCTCAGGTTTCTTTGGTCAGTGGTGGCACATGGCTGAAAGTGGAGAACCTGGACAAGCCCTTCCCCTTCCCTTCCCTCTCTCCTTCCTTCTCTTCCTTCATCCTTCTTTCCCTCCTTCCTTCCATCATTCGCTTCTTCCTTCCTCCCTCCCATCCTTCCCTTCCCCCTTCTTTCCTTCCATCCTTCCCTTCTCCCTCTCTCCCTTCCTTCTTCCCTTCCTTCCTCCCTCCTTTCATTCCCTCCCTCCATCCCTTCTTTCCTTCCTCCCTCCCTTTATTTTCTTTTCCCCTTCCTTCCATCTGGGCACTGTGTGAGGGTCTTAGAACTCCGTGGTGCTGGGCAGCCTTGGGAGCGCTGCAGGGCCAGCCTGGGGAAGAGTCATCCCAGGCCATGGACAGTACACGGGCTTTCTCTGTGCTTGCGCGCCTGCGTGCTTGCGCGCCCGTACGTGAGCGCGCCTGTCTCTGTGCGTGTGCCTGATGCTTTCATGTTATAGTGGAAAAGCTTAATGGAGGTGGACGCTGGAGAAAAAGAGAATGGGTTTGTTCGAATGGAGTAGCCTGGAGGATTCTGGGATGCGCCACGTGGACGGGAAGAGAGGGAGGAGGATGTGGAGGGCGGCGTTGGGTCCACCTGGTGTTCCAGTGCGCTATGGAGCACCAGCCAGGGACGACTCTGTTCGTGGGCCACACCCGGTGGTGCTCAGGAATTACTTCTGGTTCTGTGCACAGGGACCGATGGGGTGCTGTGGGGGGGATTGAACCTGGGCCGGGGCTGTGAACCAGGCAAGCGCCCTCCCCACTGTCCTATTGCCCCTGCCCCTCCTCAGCTTGTTCATAGACCCACTGAGGCAGGGTTCCCGGGAGAAGAGGCAGATTTCATTTGTCTGGGGCCAAGGAGAGAGTCAGAGTTGCCAGAGCTAATGACGAATCGATGTCTCATAATTGCTAATTAAATGAGCCTGGCGCTCTCCTGGGGCGGTTAGTGGGCTGAAGGGGCCCTTGAGTGTCCACAAATTTAATTATACTCCCCCAATAAACACCTGAAGCCACCGTCGCATTTTAACGTCTCGGGAGGCGACACTAAGGACACGCATGGGGTCTCCGCAGGTGTGCAGAAGCGCCTTGGCGGGAGTCATTGCCCCGTTGATGGACGGATGGACATGTCTTTCCCCCCGTGCCTGGGTGCATTCGCCACAAGTGTGCTGAGCGCCGGGTACTCAAGCCTGGCGCCCGTGAGTGAACAAGCAGTGAAACTACGACACAGCACGCAGGCTCTGTCCAGGCTGGGCGCTGGGTGACAGCTGCCACCACAGCTGGAGCCATCAATTCCCGGGGGAGGGGGCTGTCCGAGGCACTGAGGGCAGAGGAGCGTCTCCCTCCCCCACACCTCCCAAGCGGGTGGCTAAGGGCCAGTGATCGTGGGCCCGGGGGCCGTGGGGGCGCACTCCCAGCCACGGGCGCGGTAGGGGCACAGAGAGTCCGAGTGGGCTCCAGGTGAACGTCGCAGTCGGTGGGGCGAGCCTCCAGGACAATGACCTGAGTCACCTCCCAGATCCACATTTAGCCCAGCGCCAAGAGCGCTCGACTGCCGGGGGATGTGGTGGCGGAGAACGGAGGGAGTGGGGGAAGTGGATGGTGCAGGAAGAAAAATAATTTCCTGGAACCTTAATTGAAAAGTCTCCATAGCAACGTGGTCTGGGGGGTGGTTCCCCTCGCCAGCCCCTCTGGGTTCCCTGGATGGCGTCGTGAGCTGGGAAAGGCCCTCGGCTGGGGACAGAGACACTGCTCCAGCTAGTGGGGCTGAACAAGGGCTGGACATTGCTACAGATTTGCAGGGTAACCCCCCCATCTTATTCACCTCCTTGACTTCTCCCATGGGATTTGCCAGCCCACCACCCCTAGGGGGGAGCCATCCCTCCCCCCGCCCGCCACCCCATTTATCTCTTGCTTATCCATCTTGGGGGGGGTTGGCGCGAGGGGCGGGAGGCTGCCAGGGGTCTGCGCTGTGGGGAAGCTATGACTTGTTGTCATAGTATATCAGAACAACAAAATCACTAGTCTTCCACGCAGCACCAGACCACGATCGCTCCAGGCTTCTCTGCCGCCTTTTGCACACAACACCCCCTTTGCCGCCTGAGACCCCGCGTCCTGCCCCTCCACCCGCATCCAGATCTTTCCCTTCACCTGGTTTGAGCTGTCGCACCTGAGATCACTGCGCGTGTCCACTCCCTCCCATTTCCATGGTCGTCCTGAGCCCACGGGGTGGGGAGGGGGCTGCCCTTTGAGTGGGTCTCAACTCTCAGCAGGACAAGTCTGGGATAACCCCCCCACCCCCCCCACCCCACCCGGTCCTCGGGTGCAAGCGCGCGTGATGTGCTGTGTGCAAAATGCTTGGCACAGTCGCTTTTGGTGGGAGTTTGCCCGGGAACATCTCGGTCAGCCACCGCGTCCTCCAGACCGGCCGTCACACCTGTTGGGCTGGGAGGGAAAGAGAGACTCGAGGGCGTCTGGAACAATGGGGCACGTCTCCAGGAGCGCTGGGCACCTCTAGGTCCCCGTCATCCCCGGCCCCCGACCCCCACCGCTTGCTGGCGAGGACCCCCGCGGTGCCCACCGGGGCGCGCCCGCGGGAGCTGTCCGCCGTCCAGGTGCTGAAACGGAGCGCGCGCCGCTGTCCGCAGCCCCGGTGCTGAACGCCGAATCCGAGAGCCGCTGCCCGTCCAGGTGGGCCGGGGTGGGGGGCGTCGGCGTCGTCAGCCTGGGGGCGGGGCGCGGAGGAAACTTAACGAGCGCCCCTCCCCCCCGCCTTGAGCGGGGTCTTTGCCCTCCGGCCGGGGGCGGGCCGCCCCGTCTCGCGCCTCCTCCGACCGGCCTCGGGGCGCGGCGCCAGCGACTCACCTGCGCGCCGTCCAGCTGCCCTGCCTTGGCCGCCCCCGGGAGCAAGGCCTCCGCGCGTGGACCCGCGCCCCGGCGTGACCCCCCCGGGCTCCCCGCCCGGCCCCTCGGAGCCTCCCCGCGCCCCCTCTGCGCCCACGCGGCCGCGGGCCGGCTCCCCCGGCGCCTCACCTGCTCCCCGCCCGGCCCCCGCCCGCGGGCGTCCAGGCAGCGGCCGGCCCCGCCGAGCGCGCGCTCGGCCCTTTTATGGGCTCCGCGGGGAGGCGGGGCTCCGGGGGCCGGGGGCGGGGCTCGGCCCGGGAGCCAATGGGATGACGCCTCGCCTGCAGCTTCAAAGATTACCTCATAGGTTGTGGCCTTGGCTTCAGAATAAGAGTCTGACTTCGGGTTGCTCGGCCCCCCGGCCCCCGCCCGCCCCCCAAAAGTGGTGTGGGTGTTTTTCTGCGGGGGAGGGGGCTCTCACTAGGCTCCTCAGGGTCTCCCTCGGGACCCCACTTCGACAGGAGGCTCTGAACTTTGGGATGTGTTTCCCACCCCATCCCCCCCCACCCCCGCCTGGGGTGGGGGGCCACAGTAATCGCTTCTCTCCCTTCCGGGCTAGAGCTGTTGCCTTATAGCTGTAGGGCGCCGGGGTGGGGGCAGTTTCGGAAAAAGGAACTGAGGCCCGTTGGGAATGGACAGCTCAGAGATGTGTGTGTGTGCCTGTGTGTGAGTGTGCATGTATGTATATGCATGTATGTGTGTGCGCACGTGTGTGTATTACATGCATATGTATCTGTGTGTCACTATGTGTATATATGTGAGTGTGTGTGTGTGTATTATGTGTATGTATCTGTGTGTCACTGTGTGTGTATGTGTGAGTATGCATTTGAGCATGTAAGTGCATGTGTGTTTATGTGAGTGCGTATGTGTGTGTTTATGTGGGTGCGTATGTTATGTGAGAGTGCATGTGCAGGTGTGTACGTGTGCTCACTCCCTGCCAAGGGAGCCCGACAGTGAGCCCGGCACTTTTTTTTTCTGGTTCCATCCACAGGGGCAGGTTTTTGGGGACAGGAGGTGACAGGGGCAGGTTTTTGGGGACAGGAGGTGACTCCAACTGGCCGGCGCTGAGTGGTTTCCGCAGGACCAAATGACCGAATGTTCCGTGCAGGAACAGTAGCTGCAGCTCCTCAGACCCCACCCCCACCCCCTGCCGCAGCTCCTCAGGGCTCACCCTAGTCTGGGTTGTTGGGATGCCCGTGTGCATGGGGCAGGTCTCAAATCACCTGGTTTCCTTGGTTCCGCTGCCACAAGCTAGATTTTTGATTACTTTTTTTTTTTTGCTTGGGTCACACTCAGCAATGCTCAGGGGGTTCCTCCTGGCTCTGCACTCAGGAATTAGCCCTGGTGGTGCTCAGGGGACCCTATAGGATGCTGGGAATAGAACCTGGGTTGGCCGTGTGCGAGGCAAATGCCCTCCCCGCTCTGCTATTCTTCCAGCCCCAGATCCTTGATTACTTGACTTAAAGCCCAACTCAACTCTCCTTGCGGTTGTGTGGAGCAAGATCTGAGTCCAGCTGAAGAATCCCCCCACAGACACGGGTTCAAACCCAGGGAAGATGCGCCCTGGCTGTCCTCCCCAGCTGACCCTCCCGGCCTTTCTGCTCTCAGCTTGGGAAGAGCTCAGGAAGGTTGGCTCACCTCAGCGAGGAGGACTGGGACAAGGCATCACTGTGGATCACGTGCTGGGACTAACTGTTCACCAGAATTAGGGTGCACTTGGCACCTAAGGGGGTGTGCGTCCACGCGCACGCACACGCAACACTATACCACACTACACCACAGTCATCAAGATCAATGATAATTCAATTCTGTGCTTTTTTTTTTCTTTAGGTATTTTTGGGTCACCCCTGCTGGGTTACTCCTGGCTCTTCACTCAGGAGTTACTCCTTCTGGCAGTGCTCAGGGGACCATATGGGGTAACAGGGACTGAACCCAGGTTGACCGCGTGCAAGGCAAACAGCCTACCCATTGTACTATCACTCCAGCTTTAAGAAATCAAAACGGAGGAAACTTGGGTCAGAGCGATGATACACCGCCAGGAGCAATTCCTGAGTTCAGAGCCAGGACTGACCCCTGAGCATTGCCAGATGTGGGCCCCAAACAAACAAGCAAACAAAAAAACTAGGAAGTGGAGCACAGCAGAGCACTCGCCTGTGGGGTGCTGCGGATGGATCCTTGGTCAGCCTCGAGCTGCCCCACTGTACCATCACGCCAGCCCCTGGAACGTCCAGAATGAACCTCACAGAGCACAGCGCTGTCTGGAAGCGGCCTGCCCTCTGAACTGCAGAGTGGCTCGTGCATGGGGGATGAGCCCCCCTCATTCTGCAGTGGCACTCTGGGTTTGTTTAACCATATCTTAGTTCTGGGACACCAGGTTCAGTGGTGGAGATTAAAGCCTGTTAAATATTCACATACTGTGTGTGTGTGTAGACGATGGCTTTTCATATCTGCAGGCTAATTACCTACCCGTCCCCCGGCTGTCCCAGGGCAAGAGTATTGGGTCAGGGTTGACTTTATAATGAACTGTCCAACTTTTGCCCCTAAGAGATCTGCATTCTATTTTATTTGTTTGGGGGGCACACCATATGATGTTGAGGGGTGACCCCGGAGGGTTCTTTGGGGGGCATGCAGAGTCAGGGATGGAACTGGCATCAGCTGCATCTGCTACCTTTCCTTCTGACTTTACTTTTTCTTTTGAAAAAAATTTTTTTTGTTGGGGGCTGGAGTGATAGCACAGCGGGTAGGGCATTTGCCTTGCACGCAGCCGACCCAGGTTCGATTCCCAGCATCCCATAGGGTCCCCCGAGCACCGCCAGGAGTAATTCCTGAGTCTGTGAACCAGGAATAACCCCTGTGCATCGCTGGGTGTGACCCCCCACAAAAAAAGCAAAAGATTTTTTTTGTTTGTTTGTTTTTAGGACACCTAAGCGGAGCTCAGGGGTTACTCCTGCCTCTCATGGATCACTCTGGGCAGTGCTCGGGGAACCCTGTGGGGTGCTGGATCTCATGCTAGGTGAACACCCCCCACCCCCTACCTGCTCTACTGTGGCTCCAAGGCCCCATTCTGGTTTTTCATTCTCATTTGTCTGTGCTCGAAATTATTGTCTTCTTTATCTTCCCCTTCCCTTTCCCCTCCCCACTCCCCCTCCTCCTCCTCTTGCTCCTCCTCCTCCTCTTCATAATTATTATTTTTTCTTTTTGGGTTACACCTGGCGATGCTCAGGAATTACTCCTGGCGGTGCTCTGGGGACCATATGGGATGCTGGGGATTGAACCCAGGTCGGCCCGCTTTGCTATCGCTCCAGCCTATCCTCTTCATTATTTTGGCTTTTCGGGTCACACTTGGTGATGTTCAGGTACCCTCAACTCAGGATTCACTTCTGATGCTGGGGATCAAGCCTGGGTCAGCCTTGTACAAGGCAAACACCCTCCCGCTGTGCCGTCTCTCCAGTCCCGTTGCCTTATTTTTCAGCCACCTAATACACCGGGTGTGTAATGTGTGTATTTTCTCCTCAAGATCCACTCTGGTCACCTCTTGAAAACATATGGAGAGGGAAACCCATTGTCCCCTGCCACCACTTCTCCTCATCCAGTTCCAGGAAGTCCCTTTGAGCCTGACAAGTTGGTTAATTTTTTTGTTTTTTTTGCTTCTTGGGTCACACCCAGCAATGCTCAGAGGTTACTCCGGCTCTGCACTCAGGAATTACTCCTGGCGGTGCTCAGGGGACCATATGGGATGCTGGGAATCGAACCCGGGTCGGCTGCGTGCAAGACAAACGCCCTCCCTGCTCTAGTATCACTTTGGCCCCAAGTTGGTTAATTTAATTTTGTTTGGGGGGAGCACCCAGGATGCTCAGGACCACTGAAGATCACTTCTGGCAGCACCCTGGGGCCCGATGGGGAATTGAACTGAGCAGGCAAGCACTAATCCCCTATTTCTTTTGTTTGTTTGTTTCAGGACCACATCTGGCAATGCTCAAGGGTTGCTCCTGGGTTCTATGCTCAGGGATCACTCCTGCTGGTGCTCGGGGGACCCTATGGGATGCCAGAGATCAAACCCGGGTCCTCCGCGTGTGAGGCGAACGTCCTCCCCACCCTACTATCGCTTCGGTCCGGCTCCCTGGACTATCTCTCTGACCCCTCAACGGGTTTGTTTAAACACAAGAATCCACCTTCTCTTGGCTGTCCTGGGGCCTTCCAGGGGCTCCCTTCTGCCTCCCTGCAGCATGGTAGCTGGGGATGGGACGTCAGGACCGCTAGCGGGCACGTGCCTCGCACGGGCACCACCCCGGCTTCGCTCCCCGGCACCATGCCCTGAGCTCAGAGCCAGGAGTCAGCCCTGAGCGCCGCTGGGTGTGGTCCCCGAACCACAAAACTCAGAATCATGCAGCTGGCATTTCAGAATCCCCTCAGCCCGGCGACTAGGTCCGGGGAGGTCAGCTCCCTTCTCCCTGGAGCTCCCCCGGGCTCCCGCCGTCCGTTCTTTCCCTTCTCCTCCCACCCCACGATGCCCGTCGCTCACGTCTGCCCGTGTCCCAGAAGGGAGGCCGGTTCCCGTGATCGGAAAGGAATGGATCTCTTTAAAAAAGACCCCCCACCCCCGCCAGCGACTCCAGGGAGGAATCTTAGTAGCTGATTATCTCTGGGATAATGATCCAGCCGTGGTGAAGATTCATTAATAGCTTATCATGAAAGCAAAAAAAAAAAAAAAACAGGTTTCTGAATCAGGGTGTGGGATGATTGTCCCTCTCCTCCGTCCCCTGCCTTCTCCCTCCGTGCTCCGAGCA